CCCCCCCCCCCCCCGCCCCAATTTTTTTTCCCACGATCACCTCCTACATTCATTACTTATATAGCGACGCATAATTTATTCATTGTTGAATAACGCATTTTTTTCCCCTCATTGATATCAGACGTGTCTACGAGGCTTCCAAATAGCGAAGCTCTACGTTAACGTTGGAGAGTACGCCGCTGCCCAGAGGTAAGGTGGTTTTTCACGATTTAAGAACTAACAATACGTGTGGCATTGAAATTGGGTAGGGGAGGAACCACTGAAAGGTTTGCTGTTTTTCAGTGCCTGAAAATTGCCCGACGAAGTATTTATGACATTGCACGTGGTGCACAACCACGATTATGGATTTCTGATATTGCATCTTAGCCTACCGGGTATGTCTTTGTCCTCTCCAATGGCTTTTTTTTTTTTATATCGCAAAGTAGAGGATCGGCCACGAAAAAAAAAAAATTAGTAGATTAGTGAGACAAAAAAAAAAGAAGATTAGTGAGACAAAAAAAAAAAAAAAATAGAGAAAAAAAAAAAAAAATAGGAGAATAGAGAGAAAAAAAAAAAAAGGAGATTAGTGAAACAAAAAAAAAAGTAGATTAGTGAGACAAAAAAAAAAAGTCGTGTAAATAAAACAAATACATGTTAATTAAGCTGTATTTATGATTACAGACCTGTTTATCTCGACGCTTTCGCCGCAGTAGCTACGTTTTTAAGCCTAAGACTATGGCACCACGACGAGCCTAAAAAAAAAACCGTTACGGTTTCAGGATTTTTTTCTCTCCCTAGGTTTGGTTTAATTTAAAAAAAAAAAAAAAATAAAAAACCTAAAAAAAAAACCGTTACGGTTTCAGGATTTTTTTCTCTCCCTAGGTTTGGTTTAATTTAAAAAAAAAAAAAAAATGAAAATAATTGGGGCGTTTTCAGTAAAATTTTACCGCATTTTTTTGTGTTAACACCGTAAGCAATCGATTAAAAATAACTGTGATTGGCCTTTGCGCTTTCGATCTCAATAAACCATCTAAGACTATTTGCTTTTAGAGCAGGCCTGCTCAACTCAAAATGTAAGGCAGGCCGTAATACTTCATGAAGAGCTTGTGCGGGCCCTAAAGAAAATAGGACAGGGGGGGGGGGGGAAGCTATTAAAAAAATAATAATTAAAACTATTTCGTTATTTTGCGGGCCAAAAATTGGGTGCGGGCGGGCCACGTGCGGCCCGCGGGACGTATGTTGTGCAGGCCTGTTTTTAGAAGGTTTTCGTTGTGAATACTTCACTGACAATGTGCTTGCCTAAGACCTTTTCTCATCCTTAAGAAACAAATCGCGGGACTAGATCCTGTATATTTATTTGTGTTAACTTACACAAGCAGTTGAGTGGATGTCCTGATATAACTTGTATTTTGATTGCAAACCAGCTCACCCCCCCACCCCGATAAGTGACCAAACTAATCTTTTGAGCTTGAAACTGCGTTTTTGAGAGCTGAAAACTACGTTGACACTACCCCAGGGGTAGACATGTCTGTGATGAGATACAATACAAATTCAAAATGATTTTAACCAGCACATCAAGAAATAAATAAATATACAAATAAAAATGCAATGTACTTACTAAAAAAAATATGTATATCCTCCCTATACTTGAAATGATGAAAGAAAAGAAACTAATAGGAATGGGGCTCATTCGGAGGCGTAGCGAGGGGTGGGCAGGGGGGACAGATGTCCCCCGGGCGCAAGCTAGTTAGGGGCGCCAAAATGTGCTTTGATATTATTTTATTGATGAAAATAATGGGCTTCAGAGTTGAAAAAAAAAGAAAAAGGGGGCGCTTTAAGATGGATCTTGTCCCCGGGCGCGAATCTTGTCCCCCCCCCGGGCGCCAAACACCCTCGCTACGCCGCTGGGCTCATGTTCCTAACGAAAAGAAAGATCAGAAGGAAGGGAAGAAAGTGGAATGACACAATGAAGAAAATAGCGGATTGTCAGTTTTCATTTGCACACAATTTACAGGACATGCTGGGACGACTTTCTTTTTTTAAAGTCATATCTACTAATGCAGGCTCATCACAAAATATTTCCGCTCGATTGCATGACTAACATAATCTTATCTAGATCTGATCTTATCATTACAGTATCTTTTTTTCACGTCCACGCGTGCACATTCGATCGATCTCATGAGGTAAGCGTGAACAGCTTGTGGGGGGGGGGGTGCGCAAACTTAATTTGAACGTGCCCCGGAATGGGCGGGATTTGAAAAAAGCCCCAAGTTATTTTGTCTGAGACATCTGTGCACGGGCTGAAGACGGGGCGAGCAATTGACTGTCAAGCGCCCCCTTAAGTTATTTTGTTGATTATATTGATTATAATAATTATATTCAATGAACTAAATGTTGGTAGCTCGAAACGTTTCTCATAAAAAAAAAAAAAAAGACTTCACACAGCATTCTGTTGATGCAGTGTCGTTTTGAGGCATGGGCCCCACTGACCCCCCCAGGGCCCTCCGCTGCTGTAAAGACACCCCTGTGTTTATGCTCGTGAGGGGATCTTATAATTTACGAACTATTTACGAGGTAGAAACGAAATATAAAAAATCCCTTTTTGAGTGGGTTCGAATGCCCCCCCCCCCTTTCCGATGAGAAAAGGTGGGGGTGGTTGGATATTAGGGTGTGTGGTAATACACCATACCCACAATGGGAACTTTGATTGCTAGTGTTGCAAAAAAAAGGAAAACTACCAACCAGCCAGGTGCAGCCTCGTTGAGGTGGGCCGCTTTCCCTAGTCCAATGGTCGACAAACTCATTAGTCAAAAGAGCCAAAAATCAGCAGCAGGGCGATTAATTTATTTTTGAGAGCCAAATTTCTTGTCAAGAACCAAGGTTTTCGGCGTCACAACCGATTTGTGGCTGACTGGCCGAGCCGCACTCAGGTCGCAAAAGACATGCATGCCGACCAACGGTCTGGTCAATCGAGTGGAGATGCAGGGCGGGGTGAGTTTCTAGTCCAGAAGGTGGTGCTGTCAACGTGCTGCTTCGCCGCCCGATAGTAAGGGATATCCGGGCGTGAGGGGGATCCTCTGGGAAGGGCGTTAAGTTTAAGAGCTTTAGCTTTAACGGCCCACTAAATCTTAATCGTAATGTACATACACATGTAACAAATATTGAGACTAAGCCCCATGTATCCACAACAATGGGGTGAGGACTATTAATCCATTCTCTGGGAGGGGCCGAGATTAATCGCAATGTATGAGGCCGCCTAGTACATCTTTTCTTCTGTACGATACTTCAGTATCATACTTCTGTGCCATACTTCTGTGCCATACTTCTGTGTTATACTTCTGTGTTCTACTTCTGTGTCATACTTCTGTGTCATACTTCAGTATCATACTTCAGTGCCATACTTCTGTGATCTACTTCTGTGCCATGCTTCAGTGTCATAATTCTGTGTTCTACTTCTGTGCCCGACATCTGTGTTCTACAGCTGTGCTCTACTTCTGTGTTTTACTTATGTGTTATTTCTCTGTGTTCTATGTCTGTGACATGCTTATGTTCTCTACTTCAGGTTTCTACTTCTGAAAAGCTCAATGAACCATAAATCGCTGTTTTGCTGCAATCTTTTTATAAGAAAAATAATTCTCGATTAAAGAAGACTACAAATTTGTGAATACATACATNCTTTAAAGATTCTCCAAGTTAACTAATCCACGCTCGTTATTATAAAGTCACTGAGACACACCCTTGGCAGCGTGGGGAAATGCATTTCTTCGACAGACATACCCGGGACTTTTGGCCCCCCCCCCTCTTTTTTTTCGTTTACTGAGTTCTAGCACCCAAAAAACAAGCTCGGGGGCCGACACGCACCACTACAAAGAGGGGGGGGGCCCTTTAAAAACAGCGTTTCCCAAACTTTTAGGTTTCACGGACCGGTGGACAAGTTTCGAAACTGCACCAGGGACCGGTGCCAGAGTTATTAATTATATATTCTTTCTATTTTAAACGTCAATAGTCATGCTCTCTGGACCGGTAACGTAAGGCTTGCGGACCGGTGCCGGTCCACGGACCGCCGTTTGGGGAACGCTGCTTTAAAACACACATACATCTTTTAATAGTTAAAGAACAAAACCCATAAGTGCCACTGTTGTTAGCGTACGCTAACTGTGGTAAAACTGGGGAGGTTTGTTGGGAGGGGGGGGTGGGGGGTGGGGCTGTGACAACTTGGTTGGTTACATCTCGACCAGAGAAAAGGTTGATGCTATTCTTTAGAATGCTAACACTCGTGACTTTGTTATTTTGTAACTTCCTTAATTAAGACAACGGTAGAGAAACTGAAAGTAGATTTCCTGGAACTTGTAGTTTTGTTTCATATTATATTTTTTGAGTTTTTAAAAAAAAAAAAAAAAAAAAGAAAGTGGGATGGCAGTGGGGTCACAAAACATAACAACTGCAGCAATAACTTCGTAAACACAACCGTCTAGGGTCTAGGACATGTTAATTTCCTTGAACTTGTAGTTTTGTTTCATATTTTATTTTTTGAGTTTTTAAAAAAAAAAAAAAAAAAAAGAAAGTGGGATGGCAGTGGGGTCACAAAACATAACAACTGCAGCAATAACTTCGTAAACACAACCGTCTAGGGTCTAGGACATGTTGTTGCCCATGTTCACGTATTACCGGATCCTGGACGCCCCCTCCCCCCCCCAGGATGTTTTCAGCAGTGTCGTGGGGGTTCAGTATGTCAGTCACAGCGGCTTAGGGCGTAAAAAAGGGTGGGGGGGGGGTAGCCAACCTGGGATATACACCTGAATAATAGGTAATGCCATTTAAAAAATAAACTAGAAAACGCAGATGTCTGAGAGTTTCACGAATCTTAATTTATTATTACGTCACGTAAAGTTGTGTTATGTTTAGTTGTTGTTGTTTTTTTTCTCTCAAATATTAGTTAGTACTTCAGGAATTTCATTCTGTGTATGTGGGGGGGGAGGGGGCGGTCATCCCCTGATATAGCTTGACCTACATTGCGGCCGCTCAAAAGCCTGATGGTACCCAACCTTCAAGATAACTTTTAACATATAATTAATAATTGTGTAGGTCAAGCTGACATATATCACGTAACCCCAATATTTACATTAAGGTCAACAATCTCTATTTATTTTTTTATTTTTTTATTTTTCATTTTGAGCCGTAGGTTTGTCATTTCATGCATATTTTCTATATTATGAACACAAACCAAAGAGTGACATGACGTATATTCTAGCCACACATTCACACCGGGGCGTGTTAAAGATTATAGCAAGCATTCGCACAAATCGATGGAAGGGGGTGGGGGTGGAAAAGGTGCTCCGCCCCGAATGACACTCTCTAGAGGGCATGCCTGTACCATGCTTTGCCCAATGTTTGCTGTGCATTCAGCACGTTGCGTGGGTCTCATGGGTCAGGGGCGGACAGCTCAAAGAAAATTTTGGGCCTCGCCAACACTAACAGCCCCGCGGACTGAAAAAAAAAAAAGAGGTTATTATCCAGTTCGTACACAGATATCCAGTCCCAATTAACCGTTTCGTTACCGATTGACGTCGGAGCGACGTCACGACCACCCACTTTCAGTTACCAAGGGCGTCACACTGTCGTCATAACAAAGAGGCAAGGGACTTTTCTGAAATACCACGGATGTCACATTGACGTCAAATTTCAATGCTATATGTTTCTTTATTCGTTAATATAATAGAGAATTTAATAAACGAATCAGATAGAATAGTGGTTCTCAACCTTTCTAGTGCCGTGACCCCTTAATACAGTTTCTCGTGTCATGGCGACCCCCCAGCCACACAATTATTTTCGTTGCTACTTCATAGATGTAATATGTTTTCAGATGGTCTTGGGCGACCCCTGGAAAAGGGTCCCACGACCCACAAAGGGGTCGCGACCCACAGGTTGAGAACCGCTGAGATAGAGAATGAAAATACCGAATGCTTCTTCTTCTTTTTTTCTGTGTCAGCAAAAATCGATGCCACAACCAGCAGTATTGAAAAGGTTAAAAAAAATGTCCTCTATGCTATATAGCCCATTATTTAAACGGTAAAACATATTCTTGTTGTGTATCGTCTGCTCAAGTAGGCATTCAGCCGAAACGTCTGTTTAAATGTCCTTTTTTTTCAAGCCTAAAGATATTAGTTTGTTCCACTATTTATTGAATAGAGTTTAAAAGAATAATCATGATATAAGCATATCGTATGTCATGACCTTTGGGTTGATCAAATATTTGACTTCGTGACACGTACATCAATCTTGAGGCTCTCAGTAATTGAGGCTCTCTTCTGGGTAATTCTATTTTCCGTTTTAACATGTCATATTATATAAGACAGAAATAAAACATAGGTTCTGAAATTTAATATATATATTACTTTCTTCCGATCCTCTATAGCTTCACCATACAACAGATACCTTACTTATCCCATACCTTTCACCATATACCTTGCATATTCTATTACATTACAACAGATACCCTAAGTATCCCTTGGACTCACGATCTAAGTTATCCCAAAACACTTACAACAGATAATTAACGTGTCCCCTTACCTTACAACACACACCGAAAGTTTCACTTTAACTTATCACAGATATCTAACTGATCCCTTTATCAAATAACATCAAGCAACACACGTCAACCCTAACCCTAACCCTAACCCATTACCTTACAACACACACCGAAAGTTTCACTTTAACTTAAAACAGAATATCTAACTGATCTCTTTACCAAATAACATCAAGCAACACACGTTAACCCTAACCATTTATCAAATAATAGACACCTAACTTATCCGGTTACCTTACAACAGATAACTAACGTATCCCCCTTACCTTACAACAGGTATCTAGCTGGTTACTTGATTGAAAGAAACAATGAACCCCTTGCACATGAACTTATGGGAGAGATCCACGAGGCTCTTGGACAGCCAGCAGAAGCTCTGGACAGTTTTAAAAGGTCAGATTGTATTCAAGCTCTTGCATTTAATGCGACTTCAAGACGTTTGTTTGAGATGATTGGATTCCTTTGTTTCTAGCTTTCTCTAGGTTCCCGACATCATAGAGAGAGAGCTAACATTTCTCGTATCGTGCAGCTTTGTCTAACCCAGTGGTCGGCAAACTCGCTAGTCAAAGGAGCCTAGAATCAGTAGCAGGACAATTGAAGTTTGTTTGAGGGCCAACTTTCTTGTCGAGAACCTGTCAAGAACCATGTTTTTCAGAGTCAAAGCAGATTTATGGCTGACTGGCCGAGGCATACTCTCAGTCTTACGGCTGAAAACTTTCTACCAATTCTATATTTAAGTTACAAAAAAAAAATCACCAGAAAATCTTTCTTTATTTATTTTAACTACTTTATTAATGAAATGTCCCCCCCCCCCCATTTTTTTATGAAATGGCCCCCCCCCCCCCCCAACTAATATTTAATATTGTAAAGATAAAAGAAGTTGTAAACCAAAAAGTCGGATCTCACCTTTTATCTCCCTTTTTTTTTCATTTATTTCAGTCGCACTGACCCGAAGTTCTAGAAAAAAATGTTTTAATCACTAACCCTCCATTAAATTTTTGTAACTTGTAAAAATATGCCATGTTCGTCACTGAATACAGCATATAAACTAACCTACATTCTTCTTCAAGTCTTAAAAATGTTCTATTATATTCTTCATGGGGTTATCAGTTCACAAATACAATGGCCTTTTTTTAAAAAATAACACAATTTTTGTATGTTTCAGGGCTTATGAAAATGGTGGCCCTCGGTTCTGGAAACTCGTTAAAAAAAGTAAGAATTGATTCTAATTCTCACCCGGGAACAGTCTTTAAGTTGAGACACCTACGTTAATTTAGTGTTTGATTCAGGGTTCTGATAAAGGGACAATCAGATTTAGTGACTTCGGCAAGCCGTTGTCAGAATGGCCAGGGTCATGAAAGCGAAAGCTCGACCCCCACAGGAGAATGTAGAGTATTTAGTGACTTGAGCGGCTCGACTGACGCTCTCTTGTAGACTTGTTTGTCTGACTCTGTAGCAGAAAGCTCATTTGATAATTTGGTCATCAGTTTGCTCAGTATTATCTGATGCCAATCATGATGATGGTGTGGGGGTCGTCTCCATGAAAATATAGGTGGATCATATGACAAAACACCACAAAAACAATAACCAAACACCTTTGTTGCAATACCAAATAAACCCATGCTAGCTAACACCTCTGTCTTCAGCACTACGCTCTGCATCGCCCAGTGTTAGCGTTGTGCTGAAGACAGAGAGGAATGGAGGAGATGGTGCACATGTCATCTGTGGCGCCCCAACGGTCCAAGAAATAAGGGACATGAGGATGATGAGCTAACACCTTTGTTGCAATACTAAATAAAACCCATGCTAGCAAACACCTTTGTTGCAATACCAAATAAAACCCATGCTAGCAAACACAAAAACTAAACAAAAATAATGCACTCGTGTTCATAGAAATTAAAATGTATTTTAGTATTTACTTCAAAGACAAAATTTTAAAATAACTGATAAAGTGATTTTTTTTAGATTTCCCATTCAATAAATTATTAACAGTCGTTGTTCTATTATTTTCTCTGTGTAGTCGGTGACCTGCAATGTGACGTTGGAGCAGATGTTCAAACACTAAAGGTAAATGCTAATTTAATTAAAACACTGATTGTTTATTAAAATTAATTTATATATATATATATATATATATATATATATATAAACTTGAAATAAATAGCTGTAGGCCCACATGGAATACTGTAAGCCACTATAAAAAAACAACACAGGAACATAACCATCAATTATTCCATTAATGTAGCATACTGTTTTCTTATACAAACTACACAACTGTGATTTTCTTTTTCATTCTGTCACTGTTTAATTTCGCAAACTACCAAAACTTCGATTGAAATTCACCATTGTCAGCCATTTCAAAAACAAACTCATGAAACAATAATTGTGTGATATTTTGTTTAGTTCTGGCTAGAGCAATGTGAGCGATTCTTCCCCCAAAGTAGTGCAGCAGTTAAACTCAAGGTAAATTTTTTTTTTCTAAGGCTGGAATTGCAGCTTTTGTAGCAGTGATCAACAAAGATTTTGCTACTGAAAGGAAAACACAGGGTTTCAACTCGCTGATCCTTCAATATATTAAGGGCCCACGATCAATATATTAATCATTCTAGATATTTAGAATCTGCACAGAACGTCTATATTTTAAGTTATGCATGAATTATATAGTATTAGTATATATATATATATATATATATATATATATATATATATATAAATATATATACATATATTATAAACTGGAAATGATATCTGTTTCTGTACTGATCTGAGCAGTCTCATTTTTATGTTTGGTTGCGACCACGTTCTTGATCAGTAGAGACTGTGCGTAGATTCCAGCAAGGTCGGCTTGTTGCAACAACACAGCTTTCAGGAAACAGTAACAAAAACTCGTATGTTCCTATAAGCTCACAATGCAAGCCTCAAAGAGACGTATGATTCAATGAAGCTAGTTTTAAATGTGATAAACTGCTAAAAGCAGACCCTGGAACATCTGTGCTGACCTGAAAGTAGTACAACACTACAGGTCTGTGCACACCTAAATAAAAGAAGCTATTAGTGGCGTGTGGAAGAGTCAGGATGATAGCCACCATTTAGGCCAACAATTGGTGCAAGGTGAAACAGTGGTTTTCCTAGTTCTGAGCCCATTGTTGGTCAGCACAACGCACAACACCAATCATTGGTTGATCCACTGCAAGGTTAACAATTCACACAGGGCCTCGCAAGATTTTTTTTTTTTTTTTTAAACGTAGTTCACATGTTTTTATTAACAAGTTTCCAAAATGTGAAAGTTAAATGCGGAATAATCAAAACTGATTCTTATCCGAAAGCGGGAATGTTTACAACGCACAACACCAATCATTGGTTGATCCACTGCAAGGTTAACAATTCACACAGGGCCTCGCAAGATTTTTTTTTTTTTTTTAAACGTAGTTCACATGTTTTTATTAACAAGATTCCAAAATGTGAAAGTGAAATTCGGAATAATCAAAACTGATTCTTAGCCGAAAGCTGGAATGTTTTAATTGTGTCAGAAATCAGTGAACTGATGCGTGATGCTGTACCAAACCAAAGCTACATGTCACTTGAGACCCATGTACGTTTGTCGTACAAAACTTTTTTTTATGAATGAGCGGGATCAGAACTAGGATGAACTCCCTAGCAACATGGTAAAAGCCTTCAAGAAACTCACCATTCAAACCTGGTGGGTTGAAAGCGAACATCGAGACAGATTTTATCGGGGCGTCTTCGTCTAGGAAAAATGTTATCCAGGCCACTACATTAGGGGTGATTAAAAATGCTGGTTTATGCATTGGGCAACAGCGGCCATTCACAAGCGTGACAGAAAGGGCATCAAATACTTATTTTGATTCGTATCGAGGTAAACTGATGTAACATCATATGGTTATACTAGATTTAAAAACACTGTATCATAACATTTTTTTCTTTCTTGAATTTCATTTTATTTCTTATTTTAAATCAATTTCTGTGAATTAGACCCTGTTTTCAATAGTATTGATTTATTTCTCAATTAGCCTACATTTAAAAAAAAAAAAATTTTGCAGTAAAAAAAAATATTCCACTCTAAAGGGTTGTTATGAGCTGAATATTATAGACTACATCGTGAAATTGATCTGTCCCCTAAAATCAGTATTTGGTTCCTTTCAAATTAAAAAATTAGAAAAAGATGGGGAAAAAAAAGGATGTAGCCTTTTTAAAGTAGGCCTAATTGTTGGAGATCAGTTCATATAATGTAAGAAGTTTTACTTGAATCAGAAAATAAACACAGAACAGTTAGGGCATAACTTCAGTAGTTTTCTTAAACTTTCCACTTCCAGGCATGTATCAACAATTACGCAGGAATGAAGGAAAGCCGGTCGGCAAAAGAACAGGTTTGTTTGTGAGAGCGATTCTACCAAAGGCTAAAGATCTTGCAACTTTGTGACATTATCGGAAAACTTGCCACTATTTTATTTTTAAAATTTTAGGTTGCTTCGATTATGTTTTTCAATAAATCATTAGAGGTAGTATCATAACTTTAACCAAAGATCTTTTTCTTCGAAACTTCATTCTACTGGTTTATTTAATCATTTAAGAGTTGACACATAAAACATAACTAGTTTGACAAACTTAAAGACACTAGCGACAGGTCAGTGCACAAATAAAAAAAAAAATGTAGGGACTAAAATGATTTTAAAAATGAAATGGAATGTATTTTAAAAAAGCTCAACAAAACCGTGAACTTGGGAGAAATTATGGCTTCTTCATTTTAATTCTTTAACTTCCTTTAATTTTAAAAAATCACATTAACCGGTATTATACAGGAAGTTTTCTGGTAGATTAAATTTGTACCTGCAATGATGTAAAAATTTCTTAAAATTCTAAGTACTTTTAACTTTAGAAAGGGATTTGTTCATAAAATTATATATATATGATTTATATTTAGATTTTAATATTTAATCCCATTACACATCTGCTAGTTAATGGTTATTTTATTTCAAGGTTCAGAACAAGGATGACTTATCACTTCACATTAAGTCTTTGAATGACTTTTCTAACCATGGAAGATGGGACAAGGCATATGAAGCAGCTGTCAGTTGTAACCTTGAGATAAAGTTTGTTGAAGAGTTCCACTGGTTTGACTATCTCCAGTCAGTATTTCAAGTAAGTCGAGTAAGTTTTGTAAAAATCAGCGAATACAGTGTTTTAAAATAATTCAGCAAAAGTTCTTCTTCTTCTTCTATATCTTAAGGGCCCACGATCAATTTATTGATCATTTTGGCTCCTATGCATGTAGATGGGATTTGCAATGTTTCTGTTCCTGGTGTTGATGAGGAAATTTCACAGATTTCCAGTGCCACTCTGTGAGGGAATCATGCACTGGGGGTTTGAAGGCTTGAGGCAATAGACACAAATGTGTCTAGTGTTGTCGCCTCAACCGTTCCTTTTGAAAGATTGTTCCAGTCCCTGATTGTCTTGGGCAGGAATGAGCAATCGCCTCAACCGTTCCTTTTGAAAGATTGTTCCAGTCCCTGATTGTCTTGGGCAGGAATGAGCAGCTCCTATACTGGCTTCTTGCTGGTATGAGCCTGAATTGCCTGTCATGGCCTCGTCGCTGTCTATGGGGGAGAGGTACGAGTTTCTGTTTAATACTGGAACAGTGGACCAGCCCATTATTTATCTTGTACATCATGGAGAGCCTGGATTAAGATTAAGGCACACCTGAACTTATTAATTTCTTATTTTTTAATATTTGATCTTTTCCAAAAAAATAATTATAATTTTATTTTGTTTATTAAACTAATTACAAATTAATTTAGGCTAAACTTATCTGAATATGAGGAAGACTATAAATTATTGGACATAACTCAAAGTAAAAATGGGGAAAATGAATGTAATAAGTGCCCAAAATAAAAAAAAATAAACATTTGTGTTTTTGAAATTTAGCAAATATAACCTCATGTCCTTACCTTAATGACAAAAATTATTTTCTGGGTTGGCATAATATGAAGTAACGCCTACTGATGAAATTTAAAAATATTAACTCAGTTGGCCTATATACTTTAAATAAATCTTAGCCTCTTTATTGGGTTACATATTTATGAAGTATTAAAAATAATATTTATTTAGTCAATATTAAAATGTTTAGACTACGATTTTTAATTGTATGTTTCTTTTTTTTCTTCAAAAAGGAATATGGTATTAAAAACCCAGATGTGAGATTGACATATGAATACAATCTTCATTACCTTTACATTCTTAGAAACTTCACATACCTTAGTTTGTGTACAAGAGATGTTAATATCTGTGTCAGGGCCTTAAAGAGGTATATAGATAAAGTGAACTTCAATTGTGCTACATTCTTTTCAAAATATATATAGGATGCAGATTTTATACTATTTTTGAATTTCAAAAGAAATAAAATTAAGGATACTTCATTTATGTCTTCTTGTAAAATCTTCTCATTTAATTGAACATGCAAGACAAGAGTTTAAAAATTAGAAAAATTCATTACTTTTGAATCTAAAATAATCAGAAGATTTTTGCCAAACGATTTTTAAAATAATATTCTAAATATTCTTTCTACTTACTGAATTGGTCATTAGTTTTCTGCGGGACACACACTAAATTAAATAACAGATAGAGACTTCAAATTTTAATTACAGAAGAAAAGAATGGAAAATAATTGCTCTAGTATTTTATATTTTTAACCAAAAGATGGTAATGCTTTTTTAATATGTTTCTTTGTTTTAGGTGGAATTTTTATTAAAAAATAACCAAAAATATTCTTTTTCATTTTTTTTTTAGCTTTGAACAGCATTTGAACCATGCCCTGTCCTTGGACATGTCAGATAATACTTGGCATGGTTTGATGAAAGAGATTAAGGGACAGTTTTTTTACCTGGCTGGTGTTCTTTTGTTAAAAAAGGCTCAATATGTGAGTAAGGGATAATGCATTAAATTGATTCTTATTTTGAAATTCAGCTGGAAAAGATATTGACTTATAAAAAGCTTTAAAGCAATATTTAGCTTGCTTTAAAATAGTTAATAATAGAAATAGTAATTTAAACGCAAATATATATATTTGAATATAAGATAAATATTTAATGAAGTAACAAATAGTTATGGTAAAACATATTTTTCTTCTGCCCTCTTTTTTTTTCAATCATCAATTTATCTTACCAAAATGAGATTTTTGGAAATTAAAATAATTTTAAAAAATCAATTTGACACGTCAGCTTTTATCCAGATATGACTTTTATTTTTTTACCTCATCAATATTATTAAAATAAACATTTCAAATAATCTGTATCAAAATATACTTTATTATTACTACTCAAACAGGAAATTATAGCTTTGAAAACTGCAATTATGGCAGCAGGAGCTTGTTTTTTAACCAGCTACAAAGTGGATCCCATTAACAGCAATGAGCAATGGATTAAAGATCTACCCCAGCATGGAACCAAATTTTACAAATGGTGGTATCTTCAAAGCTATGATCGTGTGTCTCAGATTGGTATGTTGCAAGACATCAGAAATTTGTTTTTTTACCTATATGTAATATAAAGTTTCATGAAGATTGCAATTAATGTGTTTTATGTGACTGCAGGTTACATGTTATTTCAACTTTATTATTTTGTAAAATCATTTTTTTAATATAATTTTTTTTATTGTTAATTTTACATTTTTCATGGGTATCGTTTTAACGTGCACTTTGAATTTGATCCTTAAAATTCCTACACTACCAACATACCTCTAAAATTATTGATTTAGCTAAACAAGAAACCCTTACATTAGATTCCTCCTATCAGCATGGTAAGGCATTGCCATAAAATGACCAAAAAATGATGTTCTTTTTTACTAATCTTGTTGGTAGTCTCTCTAAAAAATTCATCACAACTAAATAATGAGTTTTTTTTTAAATTTAGGTCACATACTGAACAAATGGTCTAGTTGCAACTTTGTGGAATGGAGTAAAAACATAACACACCAGTTTATGACACCTGATGGTCAAAAATATCTGTACAAACTTCTTTTTGGTAATGAGGCTGAGACAAAAGAAATGAAACAATCTTTTTTCGACCAATCCAGGGAGTTGTTGGATAAATCAGCTCTCAGGACACAATTAACAGACAGACAACTAGCAGAGATAGATAAAGGTTAGCACTAGAGACTGTCAAATCAAAATATTTATAACTATAGTGCCTATGTTAAAGGTCCTCCAGGTAGATACTCTTTTACATCTGATTTTCATTTTGTCATAATTGATCAGAAAAATAACCTATAAATTTAATAGTAATTATTATTGTTTCTTAAATTAAAAGCATGCAGGTAAAGCTTTTTATTTTTACCCACAGTTGCATGTAAACTTCATCTGTGCAACCTGTCTCACTTGGTGTGGTTGTGTCAACAACACTACTCAACAGACATGGATATGCAACCCCATTGTGAGTACTCACATGTAGAAAACTATGATTTTAATTCACTTTTCTTTCCAAATACATTTTAAATTATTGAAATCATTTAATATAAAATGCTCAACGTATTTTAATATGAGTTAATTTATTTAAAACTAATGCAGATTAATAGTCACCACTCATTCTAGATGGCAAATTACTAAAATTATTTTTCTTTGTATCATTCTAAAGAATTCAGAGTAAATTAAACGTTTAAGAAACTCTTGTCAATACATCTTGGATAACGTATTCAGTTAACAATAACATTTTTTTGGGGGGATACATTACGGTTAGGATATTTAGTGTATTACTTCAGATCATGTAGGCCTATAGCTAAGTAACATGAATTAAATAACATATTATTATAGGCTGGAGGTTTTTTAAAAAGTTTTGATCACATTCAAGAAAGAGTCATTCTGCGTACTATTTTTTAATGCTACATTTATGAGAATATATAAATATATATATTATACTTACTATACTAAAGATGATATATTATAGCTTTGAGAAATAGTTCTTACCCCATTTATATTGTCTGCAGATCCATTTTTTACCATTGAGGACTTTCAGTATGGTGTGAGGACCATGGACAATGGAGTTATTGGGTCACTATGCCAAACAGACATTTTGGTAAAATAAATAATAATAATAATAAATACAATTTTTTTTAGTACATTTGGAACCAAAATAAAATTTAAAATTTCTTAAACCTTCTTTTTAACCAGATTGTCAAGCTCTAATAAAATTGTACAAGCTCAAACCCTTAAACAATCTTAATTGGAGAAGCATTGAGAAAAATTCAAAATAAATTTAAACTGTAATTTTTACAATTTAGATTTTTAATAATTACCTTTAAAGTGCTTTTAATTTACATAATTAGTTTCAACACTTTTAATATTATTAAAACTGTTTATAATTAGCTATTGACATTTTAAATAGTTACTCCATCCCTTATTAATCAGTTTAGATGTTTTGTTTAAGGTTTGTTGCCAAAAGATTTTCTCTATTCAGGGCATCTGCATTTGCCAAATTTTAAGGTTACATACCATCTTTAAATCTTTAAAATTTACTACGTTACTATTTCAACTATGGCTTAGCTTAATTGCTGCTGTGGATCACTTTTAAAGAAACATGAATCTGCTTGGCTATATTCACATTTAAAAATAAATATGTAACAAAACACATATTTGGACAAGATTTCCTAAAAGAATTTTCAAATAAATCTTATTATTTCCTGTAGGTTTTCCTGCTTGCCACTGTGCGCTGCTCATCCCAGGAGGTGAGTGACAGTTCTGTGATTGACACTTCATGGCACAGATTTACAATGCCAGTTTGTCTGACTCAGGATCTATGTACCCCAGAACAAGCTGAATGGTGGGCTGCAACTTATAACTACTGTACATCAAAATATAAGTAAGAATATTTTTCTTGATAAAAAACTGTTTGTAAATAATGTGTTTTAAATTAAAACTGTCTTAATCGCTAATCAATTTTATAAATTCTCTAAGAGTTTTTGTCACTTTTATCCTTAACTTATAAGATAATATAATTGAAAAAAAAAACAGCTCTAATATGAAATGCTTTTTTCTGTATTTCTATAGGAATGGTACAGGATTAAAAATATAATAAAAAATATAATAAATCATTATAGAGAAAATATTTAAAAGGTGTACATATTATAATTGATTTTTATATAAAGGCTATTTAAAAATTAAATTGCTTTTTAAATTAGTTTTTAATGGTCATCAGCTATTAAAAAAATCATTTTAAGACTAGTATGAAAAAAACATGAGAATGGTAAAGCAAATGGCCAACTTTTAATTTTAAAAATAGTATTATGTATTATTGGGTCTATAAAAATATATTATATTGAACCACTTACTGAACAGATCTGAATTTTCTGATGTGAGGAGAATCCTGGTTAAAGGCATTGAAACTGTCAGACTTGTTGCACAACATGGCATGTCTTTACCAATGATGGTCCACATTGCAAGGTCACTGAGTGCAAAGGTTGGTGTAGGTCTTAGGATTTTTTGGAGGTCCTTCATGATATTTAGCTCACCTATTCTTATTTGACATATTTAGTAAATTAGTAATTTTAAAAGAAAATGTCTAGTTTGTTCTGTTCAAAAGCTTTCATTCCAACATATTAAAATAAGGTCAAATTACTTAAATCTTTTTAAGAAGACAATCTAAGTTTTAAACAAAAAAATGGTGCTAATATTAAGGTGGCGTCTTTGGTTGTGGGTATGGAGGCCTAAAGAACAGGCATTAAAAAAAAATCGAAAGTAGAATTAATAATTTTTTAAAAATGTTAAATAGTTATCTTTATTTTTAACATTTTGGGCCAAGTTTCATTTATCCTTTGTTCTTTTAATCAATTTTCTTCACACATTTTGAGAAACCCGGTCCTAAAGAGTTTTAACTTGTTAGTAAGTAGTCTTGAGTGTTAAGAGACATTTATCATTTTGCTATTCAAAATTCTTTGTTTTAAATGAGTATTGAAATTTCATAAGTGGGTAACAAGGGTATGGACACAAAATTGCTATTTTAAAAAAAGTGTCACATCTGCTGTGATTGTCAGTCCCATGTGGTTCATCTTTAAAATGTTTTTGAATTATCCATCTTATTTTATTGATAGCAAACATTGGTGGTCATTGCTGACTTCAATTTGAACTAACTTCCTATCTACTGTTGTATATTGTCTGAAATAAGGTTTATAAGTTTATTGGCTTATTATGGCCTTGTCTCAGTTTACAAAAAAAAAACTAATTATATGTTCATCCAGTTACATTTCTCCCTACGCCAGTTAATCTACTTACATTATTTTATTTAAAACGCCCAGAATATTGCATCAAATAAAATAAATTCAAGTATAGCTATGATATTCCCCAACTGAGGAATTTATTCATTGTACTACTGAAGCTTGAAAAAAAAAAGTTCTATTCATTTGAGGTGAATACATGGTTTAATTTCATAAATTAAAACTTTTCGCATTTAAAAAAATTGATTAAAAGTTACTAATTTTTATGTGAAAATTTAATTTATCATCTTTCTTGCTTGTCAGTTTTTTTTGGCTGACAGATTTTTCTGTGTAATTTTATGAAAAATATTAAGTGTAACTGTACAAAATTTCTAGTGCATTGAAAATAATGAGGTCAGAATTTCTTTATATTGTAAGGGCAGATGATCTCTCTATGTTTAATTTTTTTTGCTATTAATTTTAATGATTTTAATATTTTTGGACTATTTTTAATTTTTATTTGGTTCACATATTTATCAACAGGTTAAAGCCTTGATGGAAGTTGGAAATGATTACCAATGTACAGTAGCAGAGATAAAAGCCATTGAAATGAGAGCTCAACACTACTGGGAGAAAATTAAGACTTATTTAGAAAAGCTTCAAAGGTGATCATTAAGGGATTTTTTAAAAACTAAAACGATACTAACTGAAAATATTGTGATAAACTAAGTAGGTTCATTTGGAAAAAATCAATTTTTTGTGGTAGAGTTAATTTTAAAAAAATAAAGATATCTACATATATAATAAAGGTTGTTACGCATCTTATCAAATTAGTCTATGTCAGATTACATTTTTTATATTTACTTGTAATTATAAATTCCAGTTTTAAATTCTAATTTAATTTTTAAAAAAGGAATGTAAAATGTACTGAATCTTAAACAAATGAAAGAGAATAAGGTTCTATATCATTGGTTTTGTTATGTCTTTTAACGCTAAAATATCTAGACATAACTTACTTTATGGGCAACACAGCCAAAGGAACACATGCTCAACATGCCACTGGATCAGACTGATTGTGATATCAATAACTCGTAACTATTTTCATGAATCTGGTTGTGTTTAAAACAATGTAATAGAGACACCTGGGACAGATTTATAATATTATTTTCATTCCCAAGATATGAAAACCTTCAAGTAACTGGCAACAGACTGTTTGAAGAACCTCAAGATATGGAACTTTCCCAAGAACAAATTGAGTTGTATCAGTCAGAATCTACATTTGCTCTGGCTCTTGCTTCAATGAATAGATCAGACTATGCCAGGGCAGTGGAAGGCTTTAAGAAGATTGGATCAGCTGATGCCAGTCTATACTGTGCAAAGGTGACCTTGAATGTTCTTTCAATCATTTCATAGCATTGAATTCCTTCATTTCTAATCTTTGAATTCCATCGTATTATCATTATAATTTTATTTTTAAAGTTCCGCTGATTTTTAAAAAATTCATTTTGGAATTTTTCAAAAGGAAATATTTACACCATTAACCTAAAATAAATATTTAATAAATTTAAATGATTATCAACATCTTTAAATTTACATTTGTTATCAAACAAAGTTTAATAGTCTACAATTTATCACCAACCAAAACAGTAGTGCTTTCTATAAAATTTACATACTCTTAATGATATTGCCTCAAATACATAAAACACATTTTTACAGAATTACTACTAATTACTTTATTTACTTATGCCTTTCACAACACCTGGGGCATAGGTTGTATACAAGAATTTTCCATTCATATTGGTCTTGTACTTACCTTTCCACTTACTTCCCGGGTGTAGGCCTATCCCATGCTTTGTTTATCTGCCTCTAGCTCATGTCTTCATGTATTCTTTGGCTTTCCCCACTCTTACTTTTACAATGTCGATTCCATATTAAGGATTGCCTTGTGAGGTCATCAGCGGGTTTACAAAGAGTTAGAGAATTAAGTGATTACAATTAGAATTAATAATATCAACACTAGAAAATTGACTTTTTATCATACACTGAAAATAAAATGAACTTAGCTATCTCAGATTATATTAGAACAAGAAATTGTTAAATTTTACCTTGAGTTAAAGATATTTATGTCCTCCTATCTAACGTAAAATAACAGTTATCATGTTGGCAAAATGTTGACAAAATTCACTAAGACTTCAACACTGTGTGTTTTTATTTTGGGTCTTCTCTTTCTTTTTTTATATAGATTGTTAACTTAGCTGAAACGTTAAATTTGATATTCATGAAAATGATACATAACTTTTAAGTAACTAAAGCCACCAATTAGTTATTAAAGTAAGGGCTTGAGAAGTTATATGCTGTTGTTTCAGGCCTACAAACAATGGGCAAAGAAAGAAATATTTGAAGATGATGGAACAGAGGAAAAGCATCTTTGGATTGAGGAACTTCTTCTCCTTTCCAGGGATCTTCTGTATACTCTTATGGAGACTAGAATGGGAGACAAAGTAAGCTGCCTTATATTAGTTGCTCAATTTCATCATATATTATCTGAGTTTCTTTTAGCCTTCTTCTTGTTGTAAAAAAAAAATTTAAACATGATTATTTTGAGACTATATTACAATTTACCTTCATTCAAATACATTTTAACTGACAATATCAATAGACTTATTTACATTGTTAGAAATAAATAAAAAAAACAAAGGTACTATATAAGTTGGAAATTATTTAACATTAGATGATGGACATGTCAATAATTTCAGTAAAATTTACATTAAACTAACACTTGTTTTAATTGTTTATCATTTTAATTGCTGTCAGCCAAGTTAAAATATGCAATGATATATTTAATATTTCTGTGCTAAATACACGGAAAGCTAAACTAAAACACAGCAAACTTAACATGCAGCAAAGCAAGAACTAATTATGTTCTAAGTAAAAATACGTTTTGGTTAAATTAAAGTCTTTGTGTTCTTTAAAAAAAATTATTTTGGATTTTTTAAAAAGCAATGCAAATTGCAGTTGTCTTTAAATAGTAATGTACTCAATGTGTAAAATAATATTGAATAATTTTAAGATTTTATTTTTTTAAAATCTAATAAATACTAAGGTTTTATGGAAGTAGAGAATTTTAATAGCATAAGCAAACTAAACAATATTTTGAATGACTTATACTTAATTAATTTTAATTTAAGCACCTAATGGAGCTTGTTAAAAGCGAATTGGATGAAGTTGAGCTGATTATTCATAAAGACAAAGTCTGTAAGTGCCCATATATTTCCCATTTTTACCACTAGGCCTATATCTTAATTTTAAAAAAAAAAAAAGAAATTAAATCAATACGAAAAGCTATTTTTATTGTCTTTTTTGTAACATGCCATTTTTTAACGTACTTAAACTTTCTTACTTAACCAAACTCTGTTGTACAAACATTTTAGTATAATAGTACAATTCTATAATTTTTTATCATTCACACACAGCAGAAAGAATTATTTATCTCATAAATTCTTTGCCTGGTTTACAATCGATTTATTTTCAGCTGAAATTCAAGATTCTTTTTGGGACAGTGGTTTCTTCCAAACACCTTTAAAGTCTGAACCAGATTATAAGACTCCCTCAGGTGTCAGGAGAAATCTTTTTAATGGTACATCAATTCAGGTAAGCTGACTGGACTATGTAGTGAGTATTTTTGCTTTGATTAGAAATATAGATATTTATTATTGTTTATACTCAAAACCTTAATTTAACAAGTTGTCTCTTTTGATTAAAATAATAAATACATTCCTTGTGAGATATTTATCTCTGATCTCATTTGATATATAGATCTAAGCCTACATTGTGTGTTTGTTTAATTTTTAAGTAAATTTTATGTTTTGTGGTTTCAATGAACAATTTAACTATAGCTGCCCACGAATACTACTTCTAAGCTAAGTGCTATTCTTTATTTTTATTCTGTTTTTTCTGGTTTTTTTGTTTGCTGATGAAGGCTTCCTGCCGACAAGTTCATTGTTTTGTTGTGTTCCTTTTTTCAGGGTTAACCCTACGTTATTTTACTCATTTTAAACTTATAATTGCACCATCTCTGTAAGTTTATTAAATGAAAATATGTAATTTAAGCTTTTTTAAATACTGATGGAATCAAATCTGTCACAGGGCGAAAAGTTTCTATGTCAAAATTTAATTACCTTGTTTAAAAACTATTTAAACCTTGCAAATTACATTTCTTAGGCATTCTTATATTTTATTATATGTAACATAATCTGTGTTATAATATATGGCTTTAAAAATTTTGCTTTTAACTCAGCAAGACTCCAGGGCTGGAATTAGATATGCAAGTCAAGTAGTTCAGGTGAACAGATCTTCACCATTTCAGTCCTATGCATCACACCAAATAAGAAATCTGCATATGAGCCAGCAGCAACTGGAACGTTCAGTTGTCATCAGGAACAGTGCACAGCAACAGAAAAGAGAAGACCTGATTCAAATTATAACAGAAAGAAATGACCAGATTATTGCTGTCAACAATCAGATGATTAAGGAAGTGCGTGATAACACCAGTGCAATTAAGAAATCGGTGGAACAGAATTCAGAGCTCATCAAAGATCTGCAGGTGAGTTCTGGTCTGTCACGGATCAGTTTGTGGTTATTATTTTACAAATGAGAAAAATGTTAACAGAATGCAAAAATATTTGTTATAACTAAACACAAATACAAAAACAATTAATTCCTACCCACAATGGAAAGCTTTCATTGATAAAGCACAAATATTTTTAAATTAAATTATAAAGTGCTCATAATTTATTTGTTATTGTCATTTCATGACATCCATGTTTTTTATTACAGACTGGTGTCATGTTTAGACTGATTTTATTATTACTATTATTTAAATGCATTCATTCTCCAGAGTTTTGTGGCAGAGAGCAAAAATGTAGTGGTAGAGATACAGGTATGTGCTGGTAAATGTATACATAGTATTATGATTTAGAACTAAATTAATCATATCACAATGTTTTTGCAAAATGTGATACCATTTCAAGCAATCTGATTTACGATAATTTAAATTTTGATATTTTTGTGATTGGAGAAATTCTTAATGGCAATTGGCAGTTAAATTTATTTTAATTAAATAAAAAATACTCAGATTGCATTAAAAAAATTCTTATAAAAGACTGATGGTTTTCAATTAAACATGTTGTTATTTCCAGAAGGAAATAAAGGGATTAAAAACACATTCATCAGTCGGTCAAAGTCCAACAAGGCCCCTTCATCTAGCTACAATTCAACAAAGTAATAAAGGTGAAGTAAGATACCTGCCTCGTGAAACACTTCCTGAGCAAAACAATGAATCTATAAGATTTCAACAAATGCTCAGAAATATGCCATCAGAATTACAAAAGACTGATGATGTACAAACCCAAGCTCAAATCATTAGAAGCCTGCCAGCACAGTTTCTGAACCCAGGACAATATCAACAACAAGGTACTCTACCAGAACAGTACCAACAACCTGGTACTGTTACAGGACAGTACCAACAACCAAGTACTGCTATGGGACAGTACCAGAAACCAGGTACTGCTATGAGACAGTACAAGAATCCAGGGACTGCTATGGGACAGTACCAACAACCAGATACTGCTATGGGACAGTACCAACAACCAGGTACTGCTATGGAACAGTACCAACAACCAGGTATTGCTATGGGGCTGTACCAACAACAAGGTACTCTCCCAGGACAGCACCAACAACTAGGTACTCACACTAGACATTACCAACAGTCAGGCAACCTTACACCCTATGATCAACATACAGGAACCAAAACATCCCACTACCAGGACCAAGGTTTATTTGCAGCACACTCAGAAGAACCCAATGTCTTTTCTTTTGGGGGACAGTTTTCTGCTAATGTTACACAGCCTCAAAAAGCAAACACTCCACAACAGGTTGGTATTAATAGTTTTTAGTGACCTCAAAACCTAAGAGAGATTCCATAATTTTGTTACTCAAAGTTTTATCACTACAAAGTTTTTTACCACTATGTTTGGTTGCTTATGTTTTGTTACTGCAAAGTTTTGTTACCACTATGTTTTGTTGCTTATAATGTTTTGTTACTGCAAAGTTTTGTTACCACTATGTTTGGTTGCTTATAATGTTTTGTTACTGCAAAGTTTTGTTACCACTATGTTTGGTTGCTTATAATGTTTTGTTACTGCAAAGTTTTGTTACCACTATGTTTTGTTGCTTATAATGTTTTGTTACTGCAAAGTTTTGTTACCACTATGTTTGGTTGCTTATAATGTTTTGTTACTGCAAAGTTTTGTTACCAATGTTTTGTTTCTTCAAAGTTTTTTTTCCATTATTTTTTGTTGCTTATAATGTTTTTTTTCTGCAAAGTTTTGTTACCACTATGTTTGTGGTAAAAAAAAAAAAAAAAAAGTAATAGTGTGAAAGAAATATTTGTATTGCTTGTATAGGATATTATGGTTAATCTCATATTGTGGTATGAGGAGGCTATGTGCTTAATTTTACATATCTAAAATAAGTTATTACTTCCTGCAGTTTTACTAAGCCACATATCACAACCCTTACTAAATCATATGTTTCATAATATTTTTTAAGATGTCAAATTTGCCAGTTATTCTCTAAATTTCTTGTTAACATATAGAGCCACTATAGTACCATTAAGTTAATTGGCTGAGTGTTAAGGTTTATATTCTAGCCATTTTTATCAAATGAAATGAGCTGACAGCGTAATTTTTAAGTCCATTAGAGGAAGTGTAAATAATGATGGGTATCAATTCATTGGTAGATACGAATTTTCATAAGTGATCTTACCAGTTTCTTGATAATGAGTTTTCCTATCTCTTGTCTCCCCAGTTTTAAATAATTATGACAAATATTACTAATATTCGTAATTTAGTAAAGGGTTTTGCTATTTAGGTCTCAGGGTCATGAATATTTCACCTATCCTAATCAGGCTGCTTTTTAAACTATCTCTTTGAACAGACGCTCTTTCTAGCTGAGGAAATTTGTGTAAAATTAAAAACCAACATTTTTTTTTTAGTGTACCCATTTTTTCAAATAGTTTTTTTACATTGCTAAATGTAAACATCATCTCAACCAGAAATCTGGCAAAGGAGAGAAGAGTAATAAAAAATCAATGCATGGAGCACAAAGTCAAGAACCAGATACAACCACACCTGTGTTGGACAGGGAAGAAATCTCACAGGCTTTGTTAGACAATGTGTTAGATAAAGTAAGACAGGAAATGAAATCAGTAGAGAAAAAACATCAGGAACAAACAGAAAGGGAAAAAGTCCTTCAAGCACAAATGGAAGAATTTCTAAAGGCACAAAGAGAAATGCAAGAGAAATTAATAGAAGAAACAGAACAGAAGAGAAGAGAGCAACTTCAAAAGGAGCATAAAGAACTAATGGAACAGAAAGAAATGTTGATAAAAGAAAGGGAACATGCCCAAAAATTGGAAAGAAAGCAGAGAGAACTACAAGAAGAATTAGTCAGAAAACAAATAGAGGATAATATGAAAATGGAAAAAATGCAAAATGAGATCATGCAATTAAAAAGAAAGGAAGAAATTCAACAGAGAGAAGAAATAGAAAAGTTGCAAATACAGCTTAAACAAGAGAAAGAAAACCAACAAAGGGAAGAAAGCCAACAAAAAGAAGAAACCCAAGAAAGGGAACAAGCACAATTGAAACTACTGGAAACAATGCGCAGAGAACAACTGGAGCAAAAAGAAAAATTTGAACAAGTCCGAAAAGAACTGGAAGAGTTAAAATTGAAAGAAGAATCGCAACAGAGGGAAGTAATGGAACAGAAACAAAGGGGGTTTAAACAAAGGGAAGAAATGCAACAAAGGGAAGAAATCCAAAACAGGGAAGAAACACAAGAAAAAGAACAAGTTCAAAAGAAACTACTGGAAACAAAGCACGGAGAACAAATGGTGCTGAATAAAAACTTTGAACTAATCCCAAATGAACTCAAAGAATTAAAACAAAACAAAGAATCTCAACAGAGAGAACAAATACAGCAAGGGGAACTAATTAATCAAGAACAAATGAAAGATGCAGACTGTTACATTCAAACACAAAAGAAAGAATTTGAGCAGAATATTAATGACTACAAACAAAGACCCAAAAATGAAAATGATACACCCAGTGGCAGGCCATTTATCAAAGCTACAAAATTCAAAAATCCCTTCAAAGGATCAACCCCTGACAGCCAATTCTCTAGCCCAACTGGGGCATCAAACAATGCTTCAAGGATAGGATTAATTGGAACATCAGTGAGAAATGGTCATGACATAGAATTATCAAATAGACATGACTCTTCACAAATGTGTCTGGAGACTCAAAAAACTACCATGACAGTCTTTAAGCCAGATTCGGAGCTCCAGGCTGCATCAAATGAAAAGAAAATTGCCAAGCAATGCACAAGATCTGATGAGACAGATGGTGGCACTACTTTCAAAACAAGGAATTTCAAGTCTGCAGAATCTGTGAGTTATTTTAAGTTAAACTTTTCGATTTCCTGTAAGTAAATAGTGGAACAAGGTATATTTATTCTTGAAATAAGAAAAACAACACAACTAAATGGAAGTTTTGGCTAGATGCCATCTTCATCAGATAATTCAAAACAATGCAATAAGATGAAAAAGCATTGATTTAAAAGTCAGTTAAATTATATTATCTTTTCTTTTCAAGCCAATACATATCTTGTTCAACTATTTTATTTACTATACATGGCTTGAATGCAGTTCCTAAAATATTATTAGTGTTTTGTAAACATCAATTCCATGTTTGCATATAAATTAGATCTCCTCGGTTAAAACCTATTTAAAATAAACCCCGGGATGCTTTAAACAAAATAAAGGGTGCATTTCCTTAAATGTAACAAAAATAAAAAATACCTTAAATTGACTTGACGTGTTTATTTTAAATAGATCAATCAATGTAAATCTTCAAAGAAACCTACAGCAGCTCAAGTAAAGATTTGTCAGAACTGCTCAGAAAATATAACAGGTAACTAATTTAATTTTAATGCCATATATAATTAGTGGTTTTTAACCTTCACAATAGAGTGAAAGATTTCAGCATGAAACATCAGAAAACAAACAGTAATAAATTATTTACAGAAAAATTAATTTTTTTTTTATTTAGCTACATTTATCATGATGCATTGTTTTTAACTTTATGTTTAAAATAAAACAATAAATAATTTTTTGGGGGGCGGGATTTTTAAGAAATTCTTCCAATTAAATGATTTATAACATAAATTACTCCAGATTTTAATGGCACCAATCATTGTAAATAACAGACCCTTATTATCAACTATAGTTTAGTTCCAATTTTTTACCTATTACAATTTTTCTGTTTTGTCATAAATCACATGTTTTGAATGTAGTGCCACCATCTGTCTCATCAGATCTTGTATATCCCACAGCAGAATTTTAGTTTTCAGAAATATTGTGAAATATTTTATATCTTAATCATCTATTCATCTGGTGCTCTTAATGTGGTTTATAATTATAATTTTTGTTAAAGTTAGTTTGTTTTTTTTTTACTCCTCTTTTTTAATTACATCAATACACCCGAGTTATTTTCATGTACCAACAACAGTTTATCAATGAAGATAACTTTAAATCGCTTTATAAGCTATGTATTATTCTGATTAATTGTAAAATTAGACACCTTCCATGCAAACTGTGCAATGGTAAAATATTTTTGCAGATTTTCTTCAGGTGGCCTTACTGTGTCTAGTTAAGTTTAATGGCAATTATGAAAGGTAGAGTTAGAAAAAGAGCAACTAAATTTAACTGGTCAATATTTAAGGTTCCAAAATTAATGGTGGTGAAGACTTGCATCCTGAAATAAGTCAGATTAAAGGGCAGACATCATCACAAAATGTAAATGAGTTTGAGCCTGTTATTCCCCTTCCACCTATGGCAGAACATTTCAATGGAGAGGAGAATGAAACTGAGGTATTGTGTTATAGAAATTTCATTTATAACATTGTAAAATAGCAGGTTATCATCTAGTGTTGAAATCACTAATGTTAGTTTCATACCTAAATATTCACATTTGATCAAGCTTTTTTTACTTTTGCAAATTAAAAAGTTTTCAAAAAAATAATTGTAATGAAATAAGTTGCCTTGGTTGCTGTTTAAAATATATTTCAATTTTTATTTTACATCTAATGAAATAGGCTATAGACTATATAAATAAATGATTAGAAACACACATTTTCTTCAAAGGTTATTGTTGAAACGTGTTGCATGTATAGATTTGATAAAGAATCCAAAGTTTGGAAAGAAAAAGGACATGGTGCATTGAAGATTCTTAAACACAATTCAAAACTTCAGTACAGGATTGTTATGCGGAGAGACCAGGTGAGATATGTTTACTTATTTATATCAGTTGTTTACATAGGTACAAAATTTCGGATTAGTTTTTTTACATAGGTACAAAATTTCAGATTAGTTATTTATATTGTACAATAGACATAAGTTGTTAAAATTGCTAAAATAATTCAAATTAGTTGTTTAAATTGGTACAACATTTCAGAGTGTATATGCAAGACTAAATAACTGAAAGTTAATCAAATTTAAAAGCTAAATTCAACAAAATAAAGCATACATATATGTTTGGTATAATTATATAGCTGATTCAACAGTACACATGTGGATAATGCCCTTCCCAAGGGATTAAGTTTTTAGGACAGCTAGTAGTTATCGCTTATCTTCACATACCGTTTGCTTAATTTTTAAGATACTCCTCAGTTAGATTTTAAAAACTGATTTAAGTTTGTACAAAAATGCTAACTACGGATCTGTTATGTAACAAGTGAAATTATGAATTTAGTGAAGCTTATAAAAATGATGAAATATTGTTCTACAAAGTGTGCAGAAAACTGTTAAATAAAAGCAGAAAAATTCATAAAATAAATCTGAAGATAGTGATGATATTTAATTCAAAAGGAAAACTGTATGCTATGAAATACAAACGTTGTGAATTGGGTGGGGTGGGGAGAGAGGTGATACAACTGAATAACTAACCAGAGCATAATATAAAATAGTTTTTAATATTCATTACAAAATGAAAGTCTTTAAAATTTCTTATAAAAATTAAAATTAACAAAAATATATATATTCAGATTTGTTTTTTTTTAAATTATTTTTTTCAGGTCCTGACATTATGTGCAAACCATTTGATGACCACTGACATGACATTTACTCCTATTTCAAACTCTAACAAAAGTTTTTGTTACTGGGCATTGGATTACTCTGAAGAGGAAGGGAAAGTTGAGTTTTTGGCCATCAAGTTTAATAAAAAGGAAAAGTCTGAGAATTTCTTGGCAGTACTTAATTGTTGCCTGGAGAAAATTCGGCATGATAAAATTGATGATCATACCTCTAGCCAATCAATGAGGGATTTATCCTGTGAAGATTTTAGTTTGAACAATGGCCCTCTATATGAAGGGAGGTTGTGCATAAGCAAAGCACTTTCCTCTTCACCTAGACAGAACACAAGAATTCTTGAAAAATTCAGGACTACTGAGGAAACAACATCATGTAGTTCAAAAAGTATTCAAATTTTGACACCAGTTATGGTCCCTACACGTCTAGTTGAACGTTTTCCTGAGACAAAGGATGAACAAGAGGTATTGTGAAGTTGTAATAAATCTAATATGTAGGGGAGGTGAAGAAGGGATCAGTTGATTCTTTGGTAAATGGATTGAAAAAAAAGAAATATCAATTATTTTCAATCCAGAAAGATGATTATTTTATTAATCATGGCAGACAAGAAATTTATTTTTGAGATCAAATTAAGGGAATTATAGCTTCACTGATGAAAAAAGGCTTACATTTGTTTTATTTTCAAACATTTTTGACAGTTAATATCCTCAAAGTGCCTACTGTTCAAATCTGACAAAGAAACTGGAAAATGGCAAAGAAAAGCATGTGGTAACTTAAAGATTATTTGGAACCTTCCTGAAAAACAGTTTAAGATAATTATGATAGATGACCAGGTAAGGAATGTTTAGATCTTGACATCGTTTCAATACAAGTTTAAACTGAATAACAATATAATTTAATTAAATTTTATCTTCATAAAATTACTATTTTAAAAACTTATTTAAAAAATAGTGTTTTATGGTAAATCCTTTTCTGAGATTAGAAAGTTGTGACAAGCATTTAAACATTTCAGAATTCAATATGATGCTCAGGTTTAAATGTTCTTGATGTAAAGCTGATTTCCTCAAAACCTAATATTCTTCAAAAGAAAATTAATCCCTAAAAGAACATAACAAACGAAAACAATTATTTTTTTTCCTCCATATTTATTTTACACAGATTCACACTTTGTGTGCAAGCCATATCATCAGACCAGGATTGAGGCTGTTAGCCATGTCTCATTCTGATCACATGTTTTGTTATGAAGCACTGGATGAATTTGGAGAGAAGAAAAACGTTGAGCAATTTGCCATCAAGTTTAAGAACAAGAAAAAGGCAGAACAATTTCAGGAGGTGTTTGATGAATGCTACAGCAAAATCTGTGATGTAATATTTGATGATGATTCAACACGTAATGCCTCTAGTGAACGTTTGAGTGGTGTATCCAGTGAAGATTTCAGTGAGAAAAAAAGACCTGCAGTTAAAAACTCTTTATATGTTAGCAAAGCTGTCAGTGATTCATGTAACATGGAAACATCTGAGAGCTTCTTTGCAGGTGTGAGAAAGGGTAAGACTTTAACTTAATTTGATATTTTATCTGTTTGAATTTAAGTAGTAGCATAATGATTTGGCCAATTACTTCAGCTTGCTGCACAAAAATGTAATCTTCATCTCAATGTTGTGGAAATCATGACTCTTTTTGCGATCTTCATTTTTGTAATTGAGAACTTAATGAATATTTGAAATTTCATTGCCAACTACATTGAGATTTTTTGATATAAGAGTTAAACAGATGATTTAAAGCTGTTATAATATGGTTGTAAAAACATTATATTTTTTTTACCTTTGTATAAGATGGAAGATCAAGAGAAGCAGGGCAAAGACAAATTAGGGCACCAGGCAAGTTACAAAGTTTACTTCAAATGACACATAAAAAATTAGTCCATAATTTTATATATCTTTTAACTTTTCCGAATTGCCTCTCTCTTCAATTTGAAATTCAAGATAATTTGCAAAGTTTAACAATATAAAATGAATACTATTTCTGTTTTAGTTAAAATTAAAGACATGTTAGCACTAAATTTGAAATTTGTGTAATCTGAAAGATACAGATAATGAAGAAAAAATTCTATACAAATGACAACATTAAAAATTAATAAAATACTTAGTTTCACTGAAAAAATAGGTTTGATAAAACATGCTATAAAAATTAATATTTAAAAAAAATGTTTAATCTTGTATACATTTTAAATATATATTTCAGATAAATTCCATAAATTAGAGTCACATAATGGTCACAAAAGAAATGTGACTGCTGAAGAAAGCTACAGCCAAGAACATGTGAGCGGACACCATGGCATCATACCACATCAAATTAGTATTGTTCCTGGAAGTATATCTTATCATGCAAGTGCAGACCAAATGAGGAAATCAGTTCATTCAAAAGGCGTCCATTGTCAAGATCAGTCACTTTGTGGCCATAATTATGCTCATGTTGATGAAAGTGGGACCTTACACAAGGGAACCAATACAGAAAGGGAGTTAGAAATCCAAAGAACAAAATATGAGATAGAAAATATACAACAAAAATACATTTATCAGAGAACAGATACTGAAAGCAAGGCAAAAGATTGTAAGTGTTCGGGGAATGAACCAGGCTGTATTAGAGTTACACAAAAGCTTGATAAAGAGAATAAAAGGATTGTTTCAAATAATTATATTGATGAACAAGGTGCTCCCCAAACTATGTGCAGCAATGCTCAAGGCAGTGCTCACAATTTTAAATGTGATACTTCACCCATTAAACCAGATGCTTTAGGCAATGGCCGAAGAAATTTGCCCAGTGAAAATGTTGAGCATTTAAAGAAAACAAAAAAATATTTAGTTATAAATTCCTCTAACAAAATTGATAGTCATCAGACTGAGACAGGTGCAAATACAGATGTCAAAAATGACACACATGTAACTGAGACAGTTACAAATACTGATTTCAAAATTGACACACATGTAACTGAGACAGGTACAAATACTAATTTCAAAATCGACACACAGGTAACTGAGACAGGTACAAATACTGATTTCAAAATTGACACACAGGTAGTTGAGACAGGTACAAATACTGATGTCAAAATTGACACACAGGTAACTGAGACAGGTACAAATACTGATTCCGAAATTGACACACAGGTAACTGAGACAGGTACAAATACAAATTTCAAAAGTGACACACAGGTAACTGAGACAGGTATATATACAGATATCAAAATTGACACAAAGGTAACTGAGACAGGTCTATATACAGATATCAAAATTGACACAAAGGTAACTGAGAAAGGTACAAATACAAATGTCAAAATTAACAAACAGGTGACTGAGACAGGTACACATACAGATGTCAAAACTGACGATCACGAATCTAAGACATGTATACATAGAGATCCGTTGTGCAATCGTTTTCAAATTTGCAGAACTAATAAAACAAATGATTTACGTGCCGGTGCTTGTCAACAAAGATATTATTCCAAGCTAAGTGCAACCAACCACTCCAATTATCAAGGTCAAGGTCAAGATGACCAGCTTGAAGGAAGTAAAGATCAAGCTGATAAAGGAAACGGCCCAGATAAGGATGAAGGTCAAGAGGGTAATGGGCAAATGAAGTTTCCAAATTCTAAACCTACTAAAGAAAACAGTCCAACTTATATCATTGATTCAAACAATCCATCGGATAGAATTGATCCAAGCAATCCATCGGATAGAATTGATCCAAACAATCCATCGGATAGAATTGATCCAAACAATCCATCGGATAGAATTGATCCAAACAATCCAACAGATAAGATTGATTCTAACACTAACAATAAGGGACTAAAGAATTCATTTAATTGTAGCAATGACAGATATGATGATACTGAACATGAAATTGCTAACGTAACAAATAATACTGGCTGCCAGATAGTAGCCAAAATCAATGAGAGAGACAAAAATTTTTATGACCAATCTGATGGAACACGAAATGACATTAAAGTTAAATATGTTCCTGATTCAACCAATGTAACAAATGAGACTGACCAAACTGATTTAGAAGATGGAAGAGTCCCGACCAATCTAACTGTTTTTATTCGCCCAAATAATTTAACAGATGGGACCGTCTTGACTAAAGTAACAGATGGGACTGTCTTGACCAATCTAACAGATGGGACGGATCCGACCAATGTAACAGATGGGACTGATCCGAACAATGTAACAGATGGGACTGATCCGACCAATGTAACAGGTGGGACTGATCCGACCAAAGTAACAGATGGGACTGAACCAAGCAATGTAAGAGGTGGGACTGAAACAAGCAATGTAACAGATGGGACTGATCCGACAAATGTAACAGATGGGACAGATCCGATCAATGTAATAGATGGGACTGATCCGACCAATGTAACAGATGGGACTGATCCGACCAAAGTAACAGATGGGACTGATCCGACCAATGTAAGAGATGGGACTGATCCGACCAAAGTAACAGATGGGACTGATCCGACCAAAGTAACAGATGGGACTGATCCGACGAAAGTAACAGATGGGACTGATCCGACCAAAGTAACAGATGGGACTGATCCGACCAAAGTAACAGATGGGACTGATCCGACCAAAGTAACAGATGGGACTGATCCGACCAAAGTAACAGATGGGACTGATCCGACTAAAGTAACAGATGGGACTGATCCGACCAAAGTAACAGATGGAACTGATCCGACCAAAGTAACAGATGGGACTGATCCGACCAAAGTAACAGATGGGACTGAACCGACCAAAGTAACAGATGGAACTGATCCGACCAAAGTAACAGATGGGACTGATCCGACCAATGTAACAGATGGGACTGATCCGACCAAAGCAACAGATGGGACTGATCCGACCAAAGTAAAAGATAGGACTGAACCAAGCAATGTAACAGATGAGACTGATCCGACCAAAGTAACAGATAGGACGGAACCAAGCAATGTAACAGATGGGACTGATCTGACCAATGTAACAGATGGGACTGATCCGATCAATGTAACAGATGGGACTGAACCAACCAATGTAACAGATGGGACTGATCAGACCAATTTAAGAGATTGGACTGATCCGACCAAAGTAACAGATGGGACTGATCCGACCAAAGTAACAGATGGTACTGTTCCGACCAAAACAACAGATGGGACTGATCCGACCAATGTAGCAGATGGGACTGGTCCGACCAATGTAACAGATGGGACTGAACCGACCAATGTAACAGATGGGACTGATCCGACCAATGTAACAGATGGGACTGATCCGACGAAAGTAACAGTTGGGACTGAACCAAGCAATGTAACAGATGGGACTGAACCAAGCAAAGTAACATATAGTACTGAACAAAGCAATGTAACAGATGGAACAGATCCGACTAAAGTAACAGAAGTGACTGATCCGACCAAAGTAACAGATGGGACTGATCCGACCAAAGTAACAGATGGGACTGATCCGACTAAAGTAACAGATGGGACTGATCCGACCAAAGTAACAGATGGAACTGATCCGACCAAAGTAACAGATGGGACTGATCCGACCAAAGTAACAGATGGGACTGATCCGACCAAAGTAACAGATGGGACTGATCCGACCAAAGTAACAGATGGGACTGATCCGACCAAAGTAACAGATGGGACTGATCCGACCAAAGTAACAGATGGGACTGATCCGACCAAAGTAACAGATGGGACTGATCCGACCAAAGTAACAGATGGGACTGATCCGACCAAAGTAACAGATGGGACTGATCCGACCAAAGTAACAGATGGGACTGATCCGACCAAAGTAACAGATGGGACTGATCCGACCAAAGTAACAGATGGGACTGATCCGACCAAAGTAACAGATGGGACTGATCCGACCAAAGTAACAGATGGGACTGATCCGACCAAAGTAACAGATGGGACTGATCCGACCAAAGTAACAGATGGGACTGATCCGACCAAAGTAACAGATGGGACTGATCCGACCAAAGTAACAGATGGGACTGATCCGACCAAAGTAACAGATGGGACTGATCCGACCAAAGTAACAGATGGGACTGATCCGACCAAAGTAACAGATGGGACTGATCCGACCAAAGTAACAGATGGGACTGATCCGACCAAAGTAACAGATGGGACTGATCCGACCAAAGTAACAGATGGGACTGATCCGACCAAAGTAACAGATGGGACTGATCCGACCAAAGTAACAGATGGGACTGATCCGACCAAAGTAACAGATGGGACTGATCCGACCAAAGTAACAGATGGGATTGATCCGACCAAAGTAACAGATGGGACTGATCCGACCAAAGTAACAGATGGAACTGATCTGACCAAAGTAAATGATGGGATTGATCCGACCAAAGTAACAGATTGGATTGATCCTACCAAAGTAACAGATGGGACTGATCCGACCAAAGTAACAGATGGGACTGATCCGACCAATGTAACAGATGGGACTGATCCGACCAAAGTAACAGATGGGATTGATCCGACCAAAATAACAGATGGGACTGATCCGACGAAAGTAACAGATGGGACTGATCCGACCAAAGTAACAGATGGGATTGATCCGACCAAAGTCACATATGGGACTGATTCGACCAAAGTAACAGATGGGACTGATCCGACCAAAGTAAAAGATATGACTGAACCAAGCAATGTAACAAATGTTATAGAACAAAGCAATGTAACACATGGGACTGATCCAACAAATGTAACAGATCGGACTGAACCAAGCAATGTAAAAGATGGGACTGAACAAAGCAATGTAACAAATGTTATAGAACAAAGCAATGTAACACATGGGACTGATCCAACAAATGTAACAGATCGGACTGAACCAAGCTATGCAACAGATTTGACGGATCCGAACAAAGTAACAGATGGGACTGATCTGACTAAAGTAACAGATGGGACTCAACCAAGCAAAGTAACAGATAGTACTGAACAAAGCAATGTAACAGATTGGACAGATCCGACCAAAGTAACAGAATGGCCTGATCCGACCAAAGTAACAGATGGGACTGAACAGACCAATGTAACAGATGGTACTGAACAAAGAAATGTAACAAATGGTACTGAACAAAGCAATGTAACAGATGGGACTGATCCGACTAAAGTAACAGATGGGACTGATCTGACCAATATAACAGATGGGATTGATCCGACCAATGTAACTGATTGGACTGATCCGACCAAAGTAACAGATGGGACTGATCTGACCAATGTAACAGATGGGATTGATCCGACCAATGTAACTGATTGGACTGATCCGATCAAAGGAACAGATGGCAGTGAACCAAGCAATGTAACAAATTGGACTGAACCATGTAATGCAACAGATGGGACTGATCCGACCAAAGTAACACATGGGACTGATCTGACCAATGTAACAGATGGGATTGATCCGACCAAAGGAACATATGTGATTGATCCGAACAAAGTAACAGATGGGACTGAAACAAGCAATGTAACAGATGGTACTGAACAAAGCAATGTAACACATGGGACTGATCCGACCAAAAAAACAGATGGGACTGATCCGACCAATGTAACAGATGGGACTGATCCGACCAAAAAAACAGATGGGACTGATCCGACCAATGTAACAGAAGGGGCTGGTCCGACCAATGTAACAGACGGGACTGATCCGACCAAAAAAACAGATGGGACTGATCCGACCAATGTAACAGAAGTGTCTGATCCGACCAAAGTAACAGATGGGACTGATCCGACCAAAGTAACAGATGGGACTGATCCGACCAAAGTAACAGATGGGACTGATCCGACCAAAGTAACAGACGGGACTGATCCGACCAAAGTAACAGATGGGACTGATCCGACCAAAGTAACAGATGGGACTGATCCGACCAAAGTAACAGATGGGACTGATCCGACCAAAGTAACAGATGGGACTGATCCGACCAAAGTAACAGATGGGACTGATCCGACCAAAGTAACAGATGGGACTGATCCGACCAAAGTAACAGATGGGACTGATCCGACCAAAGTAACAGATGGGACTGATCCGACCAAAGTAACAGATGGGACTGAACCAAGCAATGTAATAGATGGGACTGAACCAACCAATGTAACAGTTGGTACTGATCAAAGCAATGTAACAGATTGGACTGATCCGACCAAAGTAACAGATGGGACTGATCCGACCAAAGTAACATATGGGAATGATCCGACCAAAGTAACAGATGGGACTGACCCGACCTATGTTAAGGATGGGACTGATCCGACAAATGTAACATATGGGACTGATCCGATTAAATTTACATATGGGACTTATCCAACCAATGTAACAGATGGGACTGAACCAAGCAATGCAACAGATGGGACTGATCCGACCAAAGTAACAGATGGGAATGATCCGACCAATGTAACAGATGGGACTGATTTGACCAAAGTAACAGATGGGACTGATCCGACCAAAGAAACAGATGGGACTGATCTGACCAATGTAACAGATGGGACTGATCCGACCAAATTAACAGATGGGACTGATCCAACGAAATTAACAGATGGGATTGAACCAAGCAATATAACAGATGGTACTTTAAAAAGCAATGTAACACATGGGACTTATCCGACCAAAGTAACAGAAGGGACTGATCCGACCAATGTTACATATGGGACTGATCCAACCAATGTGACAAATGGGACTGAACCAAGCAATGCAACAGATGGGACTGATATAAGGAATGGCGCAGACTCAACCAGTGCAACAGTCGATACTGACCCAATTAATGTAACAGATTTGTGTGGCCCAACTCATTTAACAAATGAGACTTACCCAACCAATGTAAAAAAAGAAAACAGCTCTACTAAAGTTAGTCCTAAACGGCGGGTCAAGTGGTCAAGAGATTTTTATCTCAATAGTTTTTAAGCCTATGAAATAATATAGTAAATTACCCTCAACTTTTTCGATTTTTAAAAAAAAATTTTTTTTAATGTAAAGAAATATAGAATATTTCGTCACTTCGCGGGCCGCCAAATAGGTGCTCTCGGGCCACATGCTGCCCGCGGGCCGTATGTTGTGCAGGCCTGAGTTAAAGGATTTATTAATATGTCTTTTATAACATAAGTAATTTTCAAATAAAATGTAGATTTTCAATAGATTTTCTTTTTAACAAAAAAAAAAATAACAACGTGTCAACCCTAGACCTATGTGATGTTTCGATTCTAGAAATGTAAGTGCAAATAAATTTAATCATTCCACGCCAACATGTTTTCTTAACTTCTGTCAAATTTTCATTGACTTTTTTTTTTAATGTTGGGGCTTGATGTATCTAATTAAACAGTGGTTATAATTTTTAGGGCTATGCTGCGAACCAGTTTGATAAAACTAATAATTCTTGTAGATCACCTGTCAGTGTGGTAAGTCTGGTAACATGTCTGCCGGTCACTGTCGTCAATCGTATAGTAGGGAGACAGAACCTATCATAACAGAAAGTCTAGAAATTTAATCGCCAAAAGTGTTTCTTTCACGTTACCCCGTGGAGGGTGGGGGGGGGCATTTCAGATTTGCTGGCGAAGGGCAGCGCCATTCGCCAGATGCGTAGCTGAGGGGATGGGCAGAGGGCAGCTTTCCTAAGGCGCCAGAGTAGCGGGTGTGCCAGAAATCGGCTAAGAAATTTAATCGCCAAAAGTGTTTCTTTCACGTTACCCCGTGGAGGGTGGGGGGGGGGCATTTCAGATTTGCTGGCGAAGGGCAGCGCCATTTGCCAGATGCGTAGCTGAGGGGATGGGCAGAGGGCAGCTTTCCTAAGGCGCCAGAGTAGCGGGTGTGCCAGAAATCGGCTTTGGTGGTTTAAATCGAAAAAAAAAAATATTTGGTTGATGGGTGGGGGGAGAGCGTAAACATAAATATTGTCCCCTTGTGCAAAAACTCTAGTTACACCTCTACCAGAGGCAAAGAAACATGGTGGTCAGGTCTCCCTGCTTAATTATATGGAAGGGCAGCATTTTCGGATAACTGCAGAGTTTTTACTGTGAAAGGGAGTGCGGAAGCAGGGTCCGTGGAGTCACCTCCCCAGAAAGTTTTAGTTTATTTGTAAATCAAGAGGTGCATTTTCGATTTTACCTGAATTCAGCGTTTCTATTGCTCGGGGGAAGGAATTTTTTAAACGTCGCCCGGGGGGTGGGGGGCATGATGGTGGCCAGTTCCATACATAAAGTGAATTTACTCCAGTTGTAGCGCGCCCCAGAGTAATCATTTGGTGAACCCTTAGATTCAACCCCCATAGTCTCACATAGATCAGCTTGAGGAAAATTGAGGACGTCAAATACTCTCGTGCAAATTCAAAATCCAGTAATGCATTTTGGTGCATATTTAAATTCTGTGTTAATTCAGGGGATTTTTCAGGGGGCATTTCAGACTTTTGTTTGAGAAGCGTCCAACTCTGCCATTTAAGGGTATGCTATTTTACCTAAGTTATTCTCGTACCTTAAAATTGTATAGAACTCAGAAACGCTTTGATAAATTCAAAATGCAAGATTGCATTTTTAAAGAATATACCCGAATTTAGTTTTGCAACATTCTACACTTATTGGGAGAGCAACGGAAGAGATGCTTAGAAAAATAACGTATATGTCATTTAACCTCAGAGCTTTCGTGTTCGCCCTGCAATCCCTACGGCTGCATGGGACCCTGGATATTTAAGAACTTTTAAAAATTATCAACTTTGAATGCAAAGTGGGGGGGGGGGGACAAAAACCAAAAAGTGGCAGTGAACGTCAGCTGCAACTGCTTGTGTTACATATTTTTAAAAACATAGTACTAAATAATAATAATAATAATAAGTCTTATATAGCGCGGTACCCCAGCCTAGGGCTGGGCTCCCCGCGCTGTACATAGAAATTTTATCAAAAGAGACATACATATATGAAATAAAGTACAGCAATGTATATTCACCCACCCCACCACATAACTTTTACAAGGCCAATCAATGGACGGCAACCAGCAAGATCATTTATCATTTATAAATAGCAATGTGGCGTTGAATTTTATTCATTCTTGTTTTGGGCTTAGCTTTGTGAGCATCATTTTACACGGTGAACGCAAATATAATCATATATAAATATACATTAAAAAAAAATGAATGTTTGTTTTGTTTCTTGTGGCTGGATTTGTTCCACATACGTTTTTATATTGGATTGATGGATCTTGGTCAAACTTGGCACATGTATCCATAATTATCCGGAAGGAACTCTTAAAGGGTTATGAACTTTTTATAACATTCTGTTTGGGACCGGGGGGCCCTGAATTTTTTCCCTTATATGAGCTATTTAAAAAAAAATTGACAACAAATACCTCCTACACGAATAGATGGATCTTGACCAAACTTCGTACACATTTATTTGATTATTAATATTCAAGTACCGAAAGTGTTCTGAACTGAACTATACTATATATTAAAACAAAATAATGCGTTCAAAAATTAATTTGAAGCAAAATTTTAACGTAAAAACTGAAGAAAAAAGAGATTCGACCAAATTTCGATATAGGCCTAGCGTTGTAGCAATATCCTTCATTGTCCGTATTGAGATATCGGTGGATTTAAAACGATAATATCCATTCTAGAATTTTCCAGAAAGTTAGATAATTTTAAACATCTAGACTATAGCTATGGTATTTTTTTAAGTAGATTATAATAGGACAAATTTTAAATTTCAACTCAATTATTTATCCGTCTAATATTGATAGGGCCCTCTATCTCAGCCATAACTAAATCGGCACAGTTATAGAGTGGACCCCCCGGGGCCCCTTAATTAATTAAAAGAAAAAGGATTATAATTATAGCATTTTAAAGAGTTTTTCAAGATATTGAAAATTTTTATCGTATTTAAAAAATAATTAGAAAAGTAGTTTTTAAACATGTTACGAGCAGTTTATTAAATTTAATCTAGAATATTCCAGAAAATTCTAAATTGTTACAAGGGGATATATTGTGGGATCTAAGGGAATATTGAAATGTTAGTTAGTTCTATTCATTTCTATACTGTCCCGTAGTTTACTGTTCTCTCAGTACCGTACTAATGAGAATTCTTGTTTTTAAAATTCGGGATAGAAACAAAAAGGGTCGGGAACCCATCATAATCTTTATCCCATTCGGATCAGGAACCCACCGGAAAGCGGGATCCCACCAGGATCAGGATCACAACCTTGAAAATATCCACCGGGATCGGGCTCGCATCGGGAAACGGGACTGCGTCGGGATCGATGTCAGCATGGGATTGGGGTCCCAATGGGACCGGGGTCCCACCAGGATAAGGTCCTAATGCAATCCCGGGCCACGACGGGTATATCGGCTAGTATATATATAAAAACTTACTTGTAATAGACACTTTTTGTAAATATTTTAAAGTATATATTTTTAGAGTAAAAAAGACTGCACTCAATTGTTTCACCAATTTGAGTTATTTTTTGGGGGTAGTTCTGAGGGAAAAGGAATGTGTCATAAACTTGGCAAACAATCTCAAATCGAAACACTAATCCAGTGGTTCTGAAACTTTTTTTCGCCCACCACCCCCTTAGCTTCATAAACCCACCATTAGCACCACCCTTGTGCTACACCCATCACCAAATAATTATTGTTGGTTGTCGTTTTTTTAAAATTCAGCATAATGATTAAAACATCTCAGCAAAGAAAATAACAACGCAATACAGCCAAAAAGACTTGTGTTTGGTTTTAAAGGTTTAATTATAATTTTTGAAATCGTAATTGATTGTTGATTAATTTGACCCATCAATTATACAGCTTTTTACTAAAGCAGGAATACGATTAGGCATTTGGTATTTGTAATAACTAACACCTGCGTTGGCCAGTTTTGCCTGCTGCATGTTTTAGATGGGCTTGGTCTAGTGATGCTAATTGTTTAATGTGAGTTTGAAGTTAACTCTACAACACTCTTAAATCAACACTTTCAGAAATATTGCATTTCTTAATAAATTCTTTGGCTTAAGTGTAGCAATACATTGATTTTTAACAACTTCCCAATGTTCATAATAATGACATAAAATTCGCTTCTGAAGCCGAAACTCTAAAAGTACGTTTCTTTAAACTCTGACTTCATCTTTGAATTGGTTGTTCTTAAAAAAAAAAACCAACAAAATGGATCTGCTGTTGAAAAGGATTTGTCACCCAATGAAATTAAACTAAAAAAGATTTTAAACTCGTTCAGACATGGTAAATATTCAAATAGTCACAAGATAAATATGCCTCAGCGTTATTAGAGGGTACACACACGCTTACAGTGTGTTGACACCAAATAGAAATTGTAAATTAATTGATAACGTGACAAGGTGTTGACACAAAATGAACAATTAAAACTCTAATAGAGTTTGCTCAAGTCCATATTAGAACATATCTCATTTAAATACATAATCAGGGTGCCACGAGATTAGGGTGCCACAAACTCTGGCTGTAGCCATAGCAAGTTGCTACCTGATCAAGGAGTCATCGCATAAAGGAAGTAGCCATAAGAACATGGTGTCATTATTGCAGTTTGTCAGCAAAACAAGGTGTCATCACATAGAGGAGGTAGCCATAAGAAAAACGTTTGACCAATAGCACTTTGACACCAAACATGGGGTTATCAGATGGAGTAGTTATCAAGATCAACAGGGTGTCATCAAAGCAGTAAGCCACCAGAACAGGGTGTCATAGCAGATTGCCACCAGAACAGGGTGTTATCGCTGCAGATTGCCACCAGAACAGGATGTCATCATAGCAGATTTGCACCAGAACAGGGTGTCATCATAACAGAATGCCACCAGAACAGGGTGTCGTTATAGGAGATTGGCACCAGAACAGGGTGTCATCATAGGAGATTGGCCCCAGAACAGGGTGTCATCACAGCAGTTTGCCACCAGAACAGGGTGTCAATGATGCAGTTTGCCACCTGAACAGAATGTCATCGCTGCAGTTTGCCACCAGAACAGGGTGTCATCATAGCAGAATGCCACCAGAACAGGATGTCATCATAGCAGATTGACATCAGAACAGGGTGTAATCATAGCAGATTGCCACTTGAATAGGGTGTCATCAGTGCAGTTTGCCACCAGAACAGGGTGTCATCGATGCAGTTTGCCACCTGAACAGGGTGTCATCGCTGCACTTTGCCACCAGAACAGGATGTCATCATTGCAGATCATCACCAGAACAGACTTTCATCCGTGCAATTTGCCACCAGAACAGGGTGTCATCATAGCAGAATGCCACCAGAACAGGGTGTCATTATAGCAGATTGCCACCAGAACAGGGTGTCATCATAGCAGATTGCCACCAGAACAGACTGTCATCGGTGCAGTTTGCCACCAGAACAGGGTTTCATCACAGCTGTTCGCCACCAGAACAGGGTGTCATCACAGCAGTTCGCCACCAGAAGAGGATGTCATCACTGCAGATCATCCCTAGAACAGACTTTCATCCGTGCAATTTGCCACCAGGACAGGGTGTCATCATAGCAGAATGCCACCAGAACAGGTTGTCATCATAGCAGAATGCCACCAGAACAGGGTGTCATCATAGCAGAATGCCACCAGAACAGGGTGTCATCATAGCAGATTTGCACCAGAACAGGGTGTGATCATAGAGGAATGTCACTATAATAGGGTGTCATCATAGCAGAATGCCACCAGAACAGGATGTCATCATAGCAGATTTGCACCAGAACAGGGTGTCATCATAGCAGAATGCCACCAGAACAGGGTGTCGTTATAGGAGATTGGCACCAGAACAGGGTGTCATCATAGGAGATTGGCCCCAGAACAGGGTGTCATCACAGCAGTATGCCACCAGAACAGACTGTCATCGGTGCAGTTTGCCACCAGAACAGGGTGTCATCACAGCAGATTGCCACCAGAACAGGGTGTGATCAGAAAGAGGAGTTTGCCACAAGAACACTGTTTCAAGAGACAGAGCAGGATGCAATTAAAGGGAATGAGTGAAGCAAAATATGGTAGCAGCTGGTGGAAAAAAGAACACAGCAAAACAACAGTGAAAACGGAAATAAGTAAAAGTAACGCTGAGCTATAACGTGACATCCGAGAGGGCAGCATGAGGAATGTGCCACCACAGTAGGCTGCAAATCAGAAAATGTAGGCACCAGACCAGTGTGTCAACAGTGCAGACAGACTTAGTGAGGTCCTTAAGAATGTCTAAAAGGGGTTGGTTGTCACATTCAGTTTACATTTGGGTACGTTTTAAGGGGGGGGGGGGCGGGGGGGTTTGAGGTCCGTCGGGGGGGACTTCTTTTTTTCCTTTTTGTGGAGTTCGGGCATTTTCTGCCAAAGGTTGTCTAATTCAGTTTACAGTTGGGTACGTTTTAAGGGGGGGGGGGGGCAGTGAGGTTTGAGGTCCGTCAGGGGTGACTTCTTTTTTTACTTTATGTGGAGTTCGGGCATTTTCTGCCAACTGCAGTGTTTCCTCGTGGAAGGGGTCGGCAAAAACCTTGTCCTTCCACGGGTACCACTAGCCCCGCAGTAAGTAGCGTCATTGATTTTATCGTCTTGTTACAGGTTTTTCCTGTAGGTCAGACGTACTCGGTTATTGGCAAACATCGATTTTGAGCGTTAGATCGATATAAAGTAGAGTTTATTATTTGGTTTAATTGTAATTAGCCCCCCCCCCTCCTTTTTCCAGCAAAATTAAATTTATTTCAATGAAATCTGCAAATATTTCTCGCAGAACATAAGAAGTGTCTGATGACTTAGGATCAGAACTTTGGCGTAGGAAGGAGAGTGCAGAGGACAATTTGCAACGGGCAGCACTTTTTTCTTATTTGATTGGAAGGCATTTTATATTATTTATAAAGGCGTACTAATTTAAAACAAAAGGCTTTTACATTGGTCATTGCTCATTGAATGCAACTACGACTAATGCCAAAGCCTCGTGAAGTGGTTACCTGTCTTTGGACCACCATTTTGACGAGCACAGCCTTATGATTACGATTTTTCAGACCACTAACACTAAAAAACGAGAATTAAACCCGGCTTGAAGCATAACCGGTTCATGTTGCAGCAGGTAACACGACGCTAAATCAATGGTTCCCGGGGGGCAACCCGCCCCCTTTTCCCCTACCCGCGCTAGGACGCCACTGATACGTTAAGGTCATTTGCCTTTTTACGACGTACAATAAAACGTATTGTCGCGCAGGTTCTTATTTCCAAGAAATCAACTTTTGACATCTGACGAACTACTTTCAGTTTTGATTTGCTCAGATATATAAACTGGATAGCATTTTGGAATGCTGTCTCATTACTCGATCAGATTGTTAAAATCACTGCCAAGACACAGACACAGGTCGTTTGTTGTTTGTCTGTGCTAAATTATTGCTATTATTATATTATTGGTAATTTCAATGGCTTTTATTCTTATACTTGTGTGATTCGTGTGTGCAGGATAAGCAAAGAAAAAATAATAAATAAGTAAATCAGTGAATATTTTGTTGTAGATTATATTAGTTGGAAGACCATCGCTAGATTTTTTTCCTATACACTGTATTTAAAGCTTTAAGATCGTTTTATTTTATATTAATATCGATTATAGGTCAAGTTTTCAAGTTTGGAAATGAGTAGCAACTTTGACCAGATATCAATTGTCTTGTCAGTGACGGATCTGAAGTAGGCAAAGTGACGTGGAAGGGCTCTATGGAATATTCATTGCAAATTTAATTTCACTATCGCTTTCTTTTCCCCTGTCTCTTTCTCCGTCTCTTACCCACTCTCTCTGACTTTTGTCTCTCTTTCTCTTAATTTGTATCTTTCAGTGCCTCTTCCTCTCTCATTCTCTCTCTCCCTATCCCCTCTCCCTCTCTCATCATTCTTTCTATAAATTTTTATAAAGACATTATTAGTTGTTTAACACTGACTCCCACTTCCACGGGCAGGTTTACATATTGTTATGTTGGACGTGTTTAATTTCTCAGTGCCTTGAACTCTTGTTGACCCCCGTGCTGCCAATATAGCAGACACCGCGTTCATAGATTGGCGTGGCTTGGTCCTTTGATCTGTCACGTTTACTGCCGACTACCAATTAAACAGGGTTAGTTTGTCTCCCAGTATCTTTTGGAACGTTCTCGATTTGACGAAAAACGTAAACAATGTCAAAGGCATTTCTGGACGCGTCGGTAGACCCACTATATAAATAAGGGGTTTCAGAGATTGATGGAGAATCAGATAAATATTTTCAACTTTACGAGACAAGTGTATTATTCTTTGTCTACTCATATGTGTTTATTCGCATCCATCATTTTTAATTGGCACGTTGTACTAATTGTGTACCGGTACAAGATCTACCATACTCTATAAGTTGATGATTTGTAATTATATTTCTTTTGTTTTTAATTACATTAATACTTAAATAAATCTTATTAATTGTAATTAGCAACTGTTTTAGGTGTCGTATTTTTTGCTATGGTATCGTCATTTGTTGTGCACTGTTTGAACAAGCCATAACTTAAAACAAGAGATTAATTTCTAGCAATAGAAGCCAGTGCGTAACGATATATAAAGAATTTATTTTGTTTCATTTTCCTATAGACACACCTTCTAAAATTGGCTTCCCTTAATACATCAGTAACTATATCTACACCATACGTAATATATACATTGAATGTAGCTAGAAAATTACATACATCACTGAATGTATCTACACTGCATATTATATTACTGATTATATCTACACTATAATATATATTACTGAATATATCTAAACTATAATATATACATCACTGACTATATCTATACTATAAACTTCACATACTAAATATACACCACACACTCCACTGACAAAATCTACACCTCATACTTCACTGAATGTATCTATAGTACATACTTAACTCACTAAATCTACACTACATACTTCACTGACAAAATCTACACTACACACTTCACTGACAAAATCTACACTACACACTTCACTGACAAAATCTACACTACACACTTCACTGACAAAATCTACACTACACAGTTCACTGACAAAATCTACACTACACACTTCACTGACAAAATCTACCCCACATTAAATGATTGCAGTGAAAAAAATTGATAATGACGAGAGTTCACGACGTCAGACAGTAATCTTTGTATGTGTAATGTGAGAACATTTTAGTTTCATATTCCTTCCTGTAGACCTTGCCTTGCCATCGTTATTTCTCTCACCCTTCCCCTCACACGTACACACGTACGCACCCACCCACACGCACGCACACACACACACACACGCACACACACACACACATACACGCAAACACGCACCCACCCACATGCACACACACACACACACATGCAGCCACCCACCAATCATCTCTTCTTTCATTACACGAATACTCAAATATATTCATTGCTAGATAATACATTTGGTTTTTTCATTTCATTGATACTAGAAGGGTTTGAGAAGTTTCCACATATCCAAGCTGAATATCGACGTTTGGCAGTTCTCCAAATCGTATATTGTTGAATTTATTGATTTAAGTTTTGCAAATACGACTGAGTGGAAAATCCAGGGGGTGGGCATAGTGTCATTGATTAAAAAAAAATAAAAAATTAAGAACTGTAACTGACAGTTAGTGAGTAAAATGAATCCTTCTGGATTTAATTTAAAACGGTTGTCACTGTTGAGTATAAAATATAATATATATTTTGTGAGCGTTTTTTTTTTTTGCTACGTCTTGGTGTGTGTGATGTTTGTGTTGCGTCTATTGCTCTTCTATATTTTAAGGGCCTACGATCAGTGTGGTGTTGATCATCCTGGCGCCTATGTTTCAGAGGGGACCGCGATGTAATTGTGCATTTTTAAGAAGGCAACACTTCACTGGCTGCAAGGGCCATTACTCTTAATAGCTAGATCCGGTTGAATGGTCTTTGTCCAGGTCGTTGTGACGTAAATTACGTAATTGTGGTGACGTCATGTTTATTCTTATGCAAAGGGTGGCATCCTGTTGGATAGGGCCGTCAGGAAAATGTATAGGCCCGAAAAAAGGGGGAGGGGGGTAGCGATCGATAAAAAAAGTTCGAAAACCACTGTTCATCTCTAAATTCACTGTTCACTGTATTATTATACTGTATTATTATACTGTATTATTATACTGTATTATTATACTGTATTATTATACTGTATTATTATACTGTATTATTATACTGTATTATTATACTGTATTATTATACACTATTTTTTAAATGACTAAGATAATCGTACCTTTTATAGGACATTTATTTTATAATTTTTAGCCCTTTTTTTTGAGAAAGCGTACGTTTTAAAATAATATTTATTGTTTTATTTCACCGGGTATATTGGCTAGTAAACCTTATAATGTAAGATAGTTATTTAGCTAAACTTTTAATGTGTCTAACGGGATCACCGGACATCTTGTCTCTATTGAACGATTTGGAAAGTGTTTACAATTTTTTTTTTTGTCTGATACATTTTGTCTCGTACTTGTTTCTTTTCCACTCTTCAACACAGTCACCCCAATAAGTGAATCCCAATAAATAAAGTATATACATTTTGAACACGTGAAAAGTTTATTTTTTCGTCTTTACACGGACACGACTATTTTGCGATTTTATTTTTGAGATTTTATTGATTTCATTAATTTTTTGTCAGCCATTAGCGCGATACATTCTTTATATTTCTCAATAAGAAATTATAAACGTATTTCAATAGTTCATGACGCAGTCACTTAATTTGTTAAGTAAGCCTACTATTTCATCCTCTACACTAAACCTCTGTCATCTCTCATTAGCCAACACTCAGTCCAGTCAATCCTTTGCTGATGACACTCAAATCAGTGACTCTTGCTTTTCTGATCAACTTAATGCCACAATCCTTCGGATGCAGGAGTGCGTAGACGACGTACAGCGTTGAATGACTTGCAACAGACTGAAGCTAAAGGATGATAAAACGGAAATCCTTCTCATCCACTCTCAAAACAAACATCTCCCTCCACCCACTCCTTCTTCTATATTTATCGGCAACTCTGACATCACACTCTCTTCTTCTGCCAGAAACCTTGGAGTCACGCTTACAGACACCCTCTCCATGGACAAACATGTCACGAACATTTGCAGATCAGCATATAACGAAATTAGAAAAATCAGCACCATTAGACACCTCCTCTCCTTTGATGCCACAAAAACTCTCGTCTCTTCACTCATTCTTTTAAAATTTGACTACCCTAACACTCTTTTCGCAGGCATTCCTCAACACCACATAGGCAAACTTCAGAAGGCACAGAACTCAGCATGCAGACTCATTTTTAAATCAAAGAAACATGACCACATTCAACCACACATGCAGCAACTCCAGTGGCTTCCAATATCCTCTCGCATCAAGTACAAGTCTGCCAATCTATGCTTCAACTCTTTCACTGACCCTCACTTTCCCGACTATCTCCCTGAGCTGTTGCTTCCTTACATCCCCACAAGACAACTACGCTCTTCAACTGACAATAGAACCCTCTCAATCCCAAAAATCAAAACTAAGACCATCGGTGAACGATCCTTCTACTTCCATGCGCCCACGTTCTGGAACCAGCTCCCCTTTCATATCCGTCATTGTGAATTCTCGTCCACTTTCAAAAAGTCCCTTAAAACCCATCTGTTTAGGTCCGCCTATGACTTGTGATGCACCCTCCTTGCCCTGCCTCATTTTCTGTCTCGGGTTGATCCTGTATTTAAGTATATGCCAAAACGGCCAAGTGTACTCGTTTAAATAGCCATTTTAATGTTTTAGCTACTGTTTTTATAGTCATTTTTCACATTGTAGTTACTATTCTAGTGTCTCTGGTTTTTCATTTTTATTTTACTTTAGCAGTTTAAATAGTTCACATTTGTAAAGCGCTTAGAGCTGTAAGGTAAGCGCTATACAAAAATGCCTAAATAAATACCTATAGCTGGCCTGGTGCAAGTGCACCAAGGTTAATTTGGCACTGCCTGTAACCTGCTTATTTTTTATTTAGTAAATGTCACAATTTATAGAAGTGGGTAATTTTAAAAATATCTGAAATATGATAATCGTATGTGATATTTAAAATGCAATATAATTATTTTTTTTTCAGAATCTGATGGAGCCGTAAAAGAATTATCCAATCCAATCTCCTTCAATCACCCACTCTGGTTTTATGTCTCGCTCAGACACCAGGAGAACTCTCTCCACTGATAGTTGTGGTTTAATCTCAATGCAGGTAGGTTGCCTGGATGCATGTTGGAATTATTTGATTTAAACTACCGATTCTTGTTACTGGTACATATTTTTATATGACTCTTTTTAAATTAGATTTTCTCTAATGACATCGTGAATAAATTGAGGAATTATTAGAATTGTTTGAATAATTGACTCATGAATTTGGTCAAGTACCTAATAGATTTTGATATATTTTGTCATTGATTAAATATTGTTTGTAAAAAAATAAATTTTCACCATTAATTAAAAATTTATTTATAGAAATGTGTCAATTCTAAAAGAGTGACATATTAAAAATGATATTTATTCTAAATGAATTGTTTTTTAGTGTTTGTACTGGGAATTTCTTTAAAATAAATTATTTGTCAAGATAAAATTACTCTTAAACCATTTTCAAATCAGCATGCATCAATGGCTGATTGTATGTATGGGAGTCAAGTGGTTCATGTGAATAGATCTTCACCGTCTCCTGCAAATGTATCACAGCAAATAAGAAATCTACAAATGAGCCAGCAGCAACTGGAGCGCTCAGTTGTCATCAGGGACAATGAACGGCAACAGAATACAGACGAACTGATTAAAATTATAACAGAAAGAAGTGACCGGATTATTGCTGAGAGCAAGCAGCTGCTGCAAGAAGTTCGTGATAGCACCAGTGCAATTAAGGAATATGTGGAGCAGAATTCAGAGCTGATCAAAGATCTGAAGGTAAGTTTGTTTTGTCATGTACGGGTTTGTGGGGAATAATTTAAACATTGATTAATGAATGGAATTTCAAAAAAATTTTTTATTACAATTAAACTTTAAAAATTGGAAAGCCCTATCGTCATTAGCTGTGGGGATGTATTATATTTTTATTATAGGCCTATTGTATTGTTTATCTCTGTTCTCTGTGTAAGATAATTATTTCAGGTTATTTTTGTAAGTTGAATTTTTTAAACTCTTCCATTTTTCCAGGGCTTTGTGGGAGAGAGCAAAGCTGTAATAGTTGAAATGCAGGTATGAGCGGACTAAACTATTTATATTAATTTGATTTAAAACAGATAGATCATATATATTGTTAGAAAGTCTGCATTTCAAAATCAAAATTTTCTTACAAAATCATATTTTTTTAAACAAGTGCTTATGATTTGAGAAATGTTTTTAAAAAAACTGCTGGCCTCTAAAAAATTTAAAATAAAAATAATAATTTCAGAACAAATATTATGTTTCTTAAAGATTATTAATACTATATTAGAAGTTATCGTTCATTTTATTTTCTTAGAAAGAAGTAAGTAGCCTGAAACATTTATCAACTACCAAAAGCCCACTTCGTCAAGTTCCACTTCACCTAGGTAATGTAGACGAAGGAAGATCTATGCATTTGGGACACTTTCATGAACCTTACAGTGGAACCATAGGATATCAACAATTGCCCATTAACATTTCTTCAGATTTTCAACAGTCAGGTGTTGCTATGACAAAATCGCAATTCCCCGATACCATGACTGGACAGTTTCAAAACACAGGCCACTACCAACATTTGGGTATCCCAATGGGAGAATACCAACAGCCAGATATTCCAACTCATTACAACCAACAGTTAGATACCGGCACCTTTACATCCATCCATCAAGTGCCAGGTTTATTTGCAGCACAATTTCCGGCAAATTATGCCCTTCCAGGAAAAGAGAACACTACGCAACAGGTGGGTATTAATGCTTTGATGCTTTTGAAAACCTGAGACCACCTCCTTTGTACCAGCCACAGAAAAAAAAAAGTGGGGAAGACATTATCAAATTTCCTGTCTTTTTATGTTCCTGCATAGATGCACTGCCGATTTGTTTAACAAAAATAACTGCTACCAGTCAAGCCCCACTCCTTAGATGTGCTCTCATCTTTTCAGTGTTACAACTTCACTTGTGATCACATTGTTTCCATTAGCAAAACTTTTTCTCAAAACTATATGATGTAAGAAATGTAAATACTAGTGTATATGTACTTCTTTTTTTAAAATAAAGCAGAGACCTGGTATCGCAAAATGCCTACCATTATTTTCTCTGTAGCATCGTTTCATATATTCTAGCATTATAATATTTTAAATAATTTACTTAAAAACAATCTATATCTACAATGTGTCCCGAAAAAAACCCACGAAAACTCTATTGATAATGATAGGTCAGTGGAGAGCGCATCTCCATTATAATCAACGTCAAAATCTATCGAGATATAATACAAATCAGCATTAGACTAACAGGTGAGATTTGACTGAAACCGTCGCGGAGGGTCACATTAAAGATATGAGAATGGGGAAAACGCACGGGCTGTTTTAACACTACACTTTGCTTTTATAAAGCGGGCAGCACAATATCGTTTTGTTGGCCGCAAATGGGCCACGGGCTGCGAGCTTGAGACCCCTGATTTAAGTACTCCCCGAAAAACTACATTCAACAAATTAATTTCACTGATTAAGTTCCCTCGCATGCACATTTACTTTAACACTGAGTGCTCACTTTCACTAATTAATATTTAGCTAAAAGAATAAACACAATTGTTTACTGGTAATCCTTGTCGCTGAATATTAACTGAAAATTATAAAGACAACAATTTTCCTAAGTAATATTTCATTGTCCCTGATACCTAGACCATGTTTCCCTTTTTCCCCTCTCATCTCATATAGAAAAGAAAATGCGCAACATAGTTCAACAATTATCCATAATAACATTGTTCTCCAATACTTTTTTTAAATGTCTCTACGATGTATCTATGTCATCGCAACCAGAAATATAGTAAAAGTGAGAAGAAGAGTCAATCTCCAAAAGTACAGCAACGCAGTTTTACAGCTCCTTCATTGCCTGGCATCAATAACCCATTGCACGGAGCACAAAGCCAAGAACCAGATACATACACACCCATGGTGGACAGGGCAGAGATCCCACAGGACCTGTTAGACAATGTGTTAGATAAAGTAAAACAGGAAATGAAATCAGTAGAGAAAAAACAACAAGAACAAACAGAAAGGGAAAACGACCTTAAAGCACAAATGGAAGAATTCTTTAAGGCAAGTAAAGAAATGCAAGAGAAATTAATAGAAGAAACAGAACAGAAGAGAACAGAGCAAATTCAAAAGGAGCGTAAAGAACTAATGGAACAGAAAGAAATGTTGATAAAAGAAAGGGAACATGCCCAAAAATTGGAAAGAAAGCAGAAAGAACTACAGGAGGAATTGGTAAGAAAAAAAATCGAGGATAATATGAAAATGGAAAAAATGCAAAATGAGATAATGCAATTAAAAAGAAAGGAAGAAATTCAACAGAGAGAAGAAATAGAAAAGTTGCAACAACAACTTAAGCAAAAGAAAGAAAACCAACAAAGGGAAGAAAGCCAAGAAAAAGAAGGAATCCAAGAAAAGGAACAAACGCAATTGAAACTACTGGAAACAATGCGCAGAGAACAACTGGAGCAAAAGGAAAAATTTGAACAAGTCCGAAAAGAACTGGAACAGTTAAAATTGAAAGAAGAATCCAAACAGAGGAAACTAATGGAACAAAAACAAAGGGAACTTAAACAACGGGAAGAGATGCAACACAGGGAAGAAATGCAACAAAGAGAGGAAATCGAACAAAGGGAAGAAACACAAGAAAAAGAACAAGCTCAAAAGAAACAAATGGAAACGAATCACAGAGAACAAATGGTGCAGAATAAAAACTTTGAACTAATCCCAAATGAACTCAAAGAATTAAAACAAAAAAAAGAATCTCAACAGAGAGAACAAATACAGCAAAGGGAACTAATTAATCAAGAGCAAAAAGATGCAGACTGCTACTTTCAAACACAAAAGAAAGAAACAGAGCAGAATATTAATGACTATAAACAAAGACCTAAAAATGAAAATGATACACCCAGTGGCAGGCCATTTATCAAAGCTACAAAATTCAAAAATCCCTTCAAAGGATCAACCCCTGACAGCCAATTCTCTAGCCCAACTGGGGCATCAAACAATGCTTCAAGAATAGGATTAATTGGAACATCAGTGAGAAATGGTCATGACATAGAATTATCAAATAGACATGACTCTTCACAAATGTGTCTGGAGACTCAAAAAACCAACCCAACAGTCTTTAAACCAGCTTCGGAGGTCCAGACTGCATCAAATGAACAGAAAATTGCCAAGCAATACACAAGATCTGATGAGACAGATGGTGGGGCTACTTTCAAAACATGGAATTTCAAGTCTACAGAATCTGTGAGTTATTTTTAGATAAACTTTAGTTGAACAAGGTATGTTTTGTCTTGAAAAGAGAAAAACAAGTCTACTAAATGGAAGTTTTGCCATCCTAAGTAGACAATACAAACAATCCAATATGATGGAACGGCAATGAGATAAACGTCAGTTTAATTATATTATCTTTTTTTTAAAGCCAAAACATATCTTGTTCCACTATTTGATTTACTATACATGGCGTGAACTCAGTTCCTAATACATTATTATTTTTCAGTAAATTTCAACTCCTTTTATGCTTACAAATTAAAATTCCCTGGATAAACTCTGTTTAATCTTAACCTGGGACGCTTTAAACAAAATAAAGGGTGCATTTCCTTAAATGTAACCAAAATAAAAAAAAAAAACATACCTTAAATTGACTTTTTTATTTTAAATAGATCAATGAATGGACATCTACAAAGAAACCTACAGCTGCTCATGTAGAGAGTTTTCTGAACAGCTCAGGTAACTAATTTAATTTTCATGCCATATGAAATTAGTGGTTTTAACATTCACAATAGAGTAAAAGCATTCAGCACGAAAAATCAGAAAATAAGCAGTCATAAATTATTTAAAGACAAATTATTATTATTATTTTTTTAATCAAGCTACTTTTATCTTGATGTCACGATGTCATGATGTCATGATGCACTGTTTTTTAAATTGATGTTTAAAACAAAACAATAATAATTTTTTTTTTGGGTGGGTGGGGGGAGATTTTTTAAAGAAATGCTTCCAATTAGATGATTTGTTATATAAATTACTCCAGAATTTAATACCATCAATAATATACATGTTAACGACTATGGTTTAGTTCCAATGTTTTCCCTTTTTACACATTTTTCTGTTTTGTCATCAATATTGTTAGCCACAGCTGAATAATAGTTTTCAGATATAGTGAATTATTTTGTATCTTAATCATTTATACGTCTGGTGCTTTTAATTCGATTTATGATTATTTTTTTATTTAGTTTGTTTTTTGTTACTTCTCTTCTTTTAATTACATCGATACTTGAAGAGTTCTTTTCCTTGTACCAAATAAATAATTGATAACAACAGTTGATAAATGAAGATAATTCTGATCAATTGTCAAATTAGAGACACCTTCCATGCAAATGCAATAGTAAAATGTTTGCAGATTTTCTTCAAGTGACCTTACTGTGTCTATTATTATTTATGATATTTATGAAAGGTAGTTTTGGCATAAGAGTAACTAAATTTAACTGGTCAATATGTAAGGTTCCAAGATGAATGGTGGACAAAATGAAGACTTGCATCCTGAAATAAGTCAGATTATATGGCAGACGTCATCACAAAATGTAGATGAGTTTGAGCCAAAAGCAAAGTTTGCACCAGCTATTCCCCTTCCACCTCTGGCAGAACATTTCAATGGAGAGGAGAATGAAACTGAGGTATTGTGTTATAGAAATTTCATTTAATAAATTGTTTAGTAGCAGGTTGTCATCCATATTTGAAAACACCAATTTTAGTTTCATAATTAAATATTCACATTTAAAAAAGTTATTTTTACTTTTGCAAATTAAACATTTTTTTAAAACATCTAATGAAATAGGATATATATATATATATATATAAACATATATAAATAAATGCTTTGAAATACAAATTTGCTCCACAGATTATAGTTGAAACATGTTGGATATATAGATATGATAAAGAATCCAAAGTATGGAAACAAAAAGGACATGGTGCATTGAAGATTCTTGAAAACAATTCAAAAATTCAGTTCAGAATTGTTATGCGGAGAGACCAGGTGAGAGATGCGTTCTTGTTTATATCAGTTGTTTACATAGGTACAACATTTCACATTAGTGCAGTGATTCTCATCCTCCCTAATGGTGTGACACTTTAATACAGTTCCTCATGTTGTGGCGAGCCCTAACCACAAAAATTATTTTGTTGCTGCTTCATAACTGTAGAGCATATCGGTTTTTCAATCGTCTTAGGCGAACACTGGGAAAGGGTTCTTCAACCCCCAAAGAGTCTCAGCCACAGGTTGAGAACCACTGCATTAGTGGTTTTCATAGATATAACATTCCACATTTATTTTTGTTTTTTACATAGATGCAACATTTCAGATGAGTTATTTGAATTTTTACATTTCAGATGAGTTGTTTAAGTTGATACAACATTTCAGAGTGTATGAGCAAGACAAAATAACTGAAATTTAATCAAAATTAAAAGCTAAATTCAACAACATAAGGCTTAGGGTCTACATGTATGTTTAGTACATTTATTAAGAAGATTGAACAGAACACTTGTGCATAATTCCCTTCACAAGCCAATTCAGTTTGTAGGACAGCTAGTAGATCTCACACATCTTCCCACATTGTTTACTCAATTTTAAGATGACTCTTCAAGAAGATTTTTAAAAACTGATCTGTTATGAAACAAGTGTAATTATGAATTAGCTGAAGTTTATAAAAAGGAAGAACTATTTTTCAACACAGTGTCCTGAAAATTAATTAAGTAATTCAGAAAAATTCATAAAATGCATACTATGAAGAAAGTGTAAAGATTTAATTCAAAAGGAAAATTAGTATGCTATGGAATACAAAGGTTTTGAGTTGGGTGGGGAGAGGGCATTAAAAATGATACAACTGAATATCTGAGCAGATCATATTATAAAAAAAAGTGTCATATTCATTATGAATTGAAAAGACTTTAAAAAACTCGTATAAAGATTTAAAATCAATTTAAAAAAAAATAATTCACACTTGTTTTTTTAAATAATTTATTTCAGGTCCTGACATTATGTGCAAACCATTTGATGACCACTGACATGACATTTACACCTATTTCAAACTCTAATAAAAGCTTTTGTTACTGGGCATTGGATTACTCTGAAGGAGAAGGGAAAGTTGAGTTTTTGGCCATCAAGTTTATTCATCAGGAAAAATCTGATAAATTTTTGGCAGTAGTTAATTCTTGCGTGAAAAAAATTCGGGATGATAAAATTGATGATGATGATGCCTCTAGCCAATCAGTGAGTGATTCATCCTGTGAAGATCTTAATTTGAACAACGGCCCTCTATATGAAGGGAAGTTGTGCGTCAGCAAAGCACTTTCCCCTTCACCTCGGCAGAACACCAGAATACTTGACAATTTCAGGACAACTGAGGACACGAGATCATGTAGCTCAAATAGTTTTCAAATGTTGACACCAGTTGTGGGCCGGACACGTCTATCAGAATGTTTTCATGAGGCAGTGGATGAACAAGAGGTATTATGAAGTTATATTTAGCATTATATTTATAGGAGAACGGATCAGTTGATCTTTTAGTAAATGGATTGATAAAGAAGAATACATTATTTTCAGGCCAGAATGCTATTTTATGGATGATTGTAAGCCAATATTTAAAGCCCAAAAAATTAAGATCGTATTAAGGGAAAATATTTGATAGCATCACTGATGAAGAAGGCGTAAATTTGTTTCATTTTTAAATTAAAAGCAAACATTTGTTGACAGTTAATATCCTCAAGGTGCCTGATGTTTCAATATGACAAAGAAACTGGAAAGTGGCAAAGAAAAGCCCGTGGTAACATAAAGATTATACGAAACCTTTCTAAAAGGCAGTTCAGGGTAATTGTGATAGAAGACCAGGTAAGGAATGTTTAGATCTTCATATCTTTTCAATAAAGCTTAAACTAAATACCACTTTAATTTAATAACATTTCATGTGCCTTAAATTATTGTTTCGAAAATTTGATTTAAAAAAATATATTTTACTGTCAAAATTTTTCTGTAATTAGAAGGCTTTCACAAGCATTTAACATTTTCTGAATTCAACATGATGCTCAGGTTTACAATTCCTTGATGTAAAACCATTTACTTATAACGTAATGGGCCTATTGCTCAAATAAAAATTAATCCCTAAAACTAAAAGAACATAAGCATTAAAAATGTTTTTTTTTCAAATTTATTATACGCAGATCTGCACATTGTGTGCGAACCATACTATTACCTCAAACATGAGGCTGCTACCGATGTCAAAATCTGATCGCATGGTTTATTATGAAGCACTAGATGTTTTAGGAGAAAAGATGGAAGTTAAGCAATTTGCCATCAAGTTTAAGAACAAGCAAAAAGCATTACAATTTCTGGATTTGTTTAATGCTAGTCAAACAATGGACCCAGAGCATGATATTGCTAACCACAAAATGGAACCATATCATTATAGTGCTAGCCAAAGAATGTACCCAAACTATGATAGTGCTAGCTTAAGAATGAGGCCTGAACATGTTAGAGCTAGACAAAGAATGCAACCCGGTCATGATAGTGCTAGAGAAATAGTCGACCAAGATCACGATAGTGCTAGCCAAAGAGTGGACAATGACAATGATAGAGCTGGAGAAAAAGTGGACCAACGTCATGATAGGGATAGCCAAAGAGTGGTTCCAGACCATGACAATGCCAGCCAAAGAAGGGACCAAGACGATGATAATGCTAGCCAAAGAGGGGACCAAGACGATGATAGCGCTAGCCAAAGAGGGGACCAAGACGATGATAGTGCTAGCCAAAGAGGGGAGCAAGACGATGATAGTGCTAGCCAAAGAGGGGACCAAGACGATGACAGTGCTAGCCAAAGAGGGGAGCAAGACGATGATAGCGCTAGCCAAAGAGGGGACCAAGACGATGATAGTGCTAGCCAAAGAGGGGAGCAAGACGATGATAGTGCTAGCCAAAGAGGGGATCAAGACGATGATAGCGCTAGCCAAAGAGGGGACCAAGACGATGATAGTGCTAGCCAAAGAGGGGAGCAAGACGATGATAGTGCTAGCCAAAGAGGGGAGCAAGACGATGATAGTGCTAGCCAAAGAGGGGACCAAGACGATGATAGTGCTAGCCAAAGAGGGGACCAAGACGATGATAGTGCTAGCCAAAGAGGGGACCAAGACGATGATAGTGCTAGCCAAAGAGGGGACCAAGACGATGATAAGGCTAGCCAAAGAGGGGAGCAAGACGATGATAGTGCTAGCCAAAGAGGGGACCAAGACGATGATAGTGCTAGCCAAAGAGGGGAGCAAGACGATGATAGTACTAGCCAAAGAGGGGACCAAGACGATGAAAGTGCTAGCCAAAGAGGGGACCAAGACGATGATAGTGCTAGCCAGAGTGTAGACCCAGACGATAATACTGATAGCAAAAGAATGGACATAGACCAGGTCAGTGCAAGCCAAAAATTGAATACAGATCATAATTTTGCTAGCGAAAGAATTGACCCCGAACATGATAGTGCCAGCGAAAGTAAGGACACAGATCACGAAAATGCTAATAAAATTAAACAAACAGAAAATAATGTTAACCAATGTGAGGACATAAATCAAGATAGTGCTAACATAAGTATTGAGCCAGGCCGTGATAGTGCTGACATAAGTATTGAGCCAGGCCGTGATAGTGCTGACATAAGTATTGAACCAGACCGTGATAATGCTGACTTAAGTATTGAACCAGACCGTGATAATGCTGACCTAAGTATTGAGCCAGGCCGTGCTATTGCTGACCTAAGTATTGAGAAAGACCGTGATAATGCTGACTTAAGTATTGACCCAGATCGTGATAAAACTGACCTAAGTATTGAGCCAGGCTGTGATAGTGCTGACATAAGTATGGAGCCAGAACGTGATAATGCTGACCTAAGTATTGAACCAGACCGTGATAATGCTGACCTAAGTCTTGAGTTAGGCCATGATATTGCTTACCTAAGTATTGAGCCAGACCGTGATAATGCTGACCTAAGTATTGAGCCAGACCGTGATAATGCTGACCTAAGTATTGAGCCAGGCCGTGATAATGCTGACCTAAGAATTGAGCCAGACCGTGATAATGCTGACCTAAGTATTGAGCCAGACCGTGATAATGCTGACCTAAGTCTTGAGTTAGGCCATGATATTGCTTACCTAAGTATTGAGCCAGACCGTGATAATGCTGACCTAAGTATTGAGCCAGACCGTGATAATGCTGACCTAAGTCTTGAGTTAGGCCATGATATTGCTTACCTAAGTATTGAGTTAGGCCGTGATATTGCTGACGTAAGTATTGAGCCAGACAGTGATAATGCTGACCTAAGTATTGAGTTAGGCCGTGATATTGCTGTCCTATGTATTGAGCCAGGCTGTGATAGTGCTGACATAAGTCTAAGTATGAGGTCAGACCGTGATAATGCTTACCTAAGTATTGAGCAAAACCTTGATATTGCTGAGCTAAGCATTGAGCCAGGCTGTGATAGTGCTGACATAAGTATGAGGTCAGACCGTGATAATGCTGACCTAATTATTGAGCCAGGTTGTGATAGTTTTGACATAAGTATGAGGTCAGACCGTGATGATGCTGACCTAAGTATTGAGCCAGGTCGTGATAATGCTGACCTAAATATTGAGCCAGTCCGTGATAATGCTGACCCAAGTATTGAGCCAGGCTGTGATAATGCTGACCTAAGCATTGAGCCAGGCTGTGATAGTGCTGACATAAGTATGAGGTCAGACCGTGATAATGCTTACATAAGTATTGAGCAAAACCGTGATATTGCTGAGCTTAGTATTGAGCCAGGTTGTGATAGTTTTGACATAAGTATTGAGCAAGACCGTGAAAATGTTAATCTAAGTATTGAGCCAGACCGTGATAATGCTGAACTAAATATTGAGCCTGGCCGGGATAATGCTGACCCAAGTATTGAGCCAGGCTGTGATAGTGATGACCTAAGTCTTGAGCCAGGCCGTGATAATGCTGACCCAAGTATTGAGCCAGGCTGTGATAGTACTGACCCAAATATTGAGCCAGGCTGTGATAGTGCTGACCTAAGTATTGAGCCAGGCCTTGATAATGCTGACCTTAGTATTGAGCCAGGCTGTGATAGTGCAGACATATGTATGGAGCCAGACCATTATAATGCTTACCTAAGTATTGAGCCAGAAAGTGATAATTCTGACCTATGCATTGAGCCAGGCCGTGATAATGCTGACCTAAGTATTGAGCAAAACCGTGATATAGCTGAGCTAAGTATTGAGCCAGGCTGTGATAATGCTGACATAAGTATGAAGTCAGACCGTGATAATGCTGACCTAATTATTGAGCCAGGTTGTGATAGTTTTGACTTAAGTATTGAGCCGGACGGTGATTATGCCGACCTAAGTATTGAGCCAGACCGTGATAGTGCTTACCTAAGTGTTGAGACAGGCCGTGATAGTGCTGACCTAAATATTGAACCAGGCCGTGATAGTGCTGACGTAAGTGTTGAGCCAGGCCGTGATAGTGCTGACCTAAATATTGAGCCAGGCCGTGATAGTGCTGACCTAAGTGTTGAGCCAGGCCGTGATAATGCTGACCTAAGTGTTGAGCCAGGCCGTGATAGTGCTGACCTAAGTGTTGAGCCAGGCCGTGATAGTGCTGACCTAAATATTGAGCCAGGCCGTGATAGTGCTGACCTAAATATTGAACCAGGTCGTGATAATGCTGACATTCGTATTAAGCGAGACCTTGATAGTGCTGACATAACTTTTGAACCAGAACATGACAGTGCTAGTCAAAGACAAGAAGCAGACGTCGAGATTGCTAAGCAAATGAAGGACACAATTTATGATACTGCCAACCAAAGTAAAGAACCATATCTCGAGATTGCAAACCAATTGAAGGACACAGATCATGTTTGTGCAAACCAAAGTAAAGACCGAGATCACGACACTGCTAACCATAGTAAGAACCCAGATCATGAGAGTTCTGATCAAAGTTACAACCCAGATCACGAGAGTTCTGATCAAACTAACAACCCAGATCACGAGAGTTCTGATCAAAGTAAAAACTCAGATCACGAGAGTTTTGTTCAAAGTAACAACCCAGATCATGAGAGTTCTGATCTAAGTAGCAACCCAGAACATGAGAGTTCTGTTCAAAGTGACAACCCAGATCATGAGAGTTCTGATCAAAGTAACAACCCAGATCATGAGAGTTCTGATCAACCTAACAACCCAGATCATGAGAGTTCTGATCAAAGTAAAAACTCAGATCACGAGAGTTCTGTTCAAAGTAACAACCCAGATCATGTGAGTTCTGATCTAAGTAGCAACCCAGATCATGAGAGCTCTGATCAAAGTAACAACCCAGAACATGAGAGTTCTGATCAAAGTAAAAACTCAGATCACGAGAGTTCTGTTCAAAGTAATAACCCAGATCATGAGAGCTCTTATCTAAGTAGCAACCCAGAACATGAGAGTTCTGATCAAAGTAACAACCCAGATCATGAGAGTTCTGATCAAAGTAAAAACTCAGATCACGAGAGTTCTGTTCAAAGTAACAACCCAGATCATGAGAGCTCTGATCTAAGTAGCAACCCAGAACATGAGAGTTCTGATCAAAGTAACAACCCAGATCATGAGAGTTCTGATCAAAGTAACAACCCAGAACATGAGAGTTCTGATCAAAGTAACAACCCAGATCACGAGAGTTCTGATCAAAGTAACAACCCAGATCATGAGAGTTCTGATCAAAGTAACATCACGGATCATGAGAGTTCTGATCAAAGTAACAACCCAGAACATGAGAGTTCTGATCGAAGTAACGACCTAGATCAGGGCAATGACAGCTCTAACCAAATTAAAATCCCAGAACATGAAAGTGCTCGACAAACTAAGGGCCGAGATCGTGATAGCTTGTGTCGACAAACCGATGACCCAGATCTTAGTATTGTTGGATACAACGATGACCCAGAGCATAAGATTGTTGACCAAACCGATGGCCCAGATCATCGGCCGGCTTCCTGGTGGCAAAGAATTTTGTTTGTAGCCTTCGAATGTTTTACTTGGCTTTTATTTTTCTATTTTTTTGTTTCTTATCTTTTACCTTTTGCTCTTCACATTTATTACGAAAAATAAGCTGACACTAATTAAAGTGGAATAGAAATTTTGATTAAAATATGTTAAAGTCTTGGCGGAGAAAGTGTACAAATAAATGTTACTTTTATCAAGCTTTTTAAAATTGATTGTAAATGGTAGTTTTGAATGAAAAAGTTGTGTAAATATCAACATTAAAAAAAAAAATAATTGTGTTTAATTTTATTTGATATACTGAGTCGCACTGAGTGTTCAATCTTGTTCAATCAAGCTTTCAAAGCAATTAAATTTTACTCTTGAATATTTAAACTGTATAAACTATTTGTAAAAGAAAAGTGAAAACTTGAATTATAGCGGCGTTCTTAAGGCTTGACATTTTATATATATATATATATATATATATATATAATATATATATAAATATATATATATATTTATTTATTTATATGTGTGTGTGTATTTAATCAATTTGAGACCACCCGTAAGATGAAGACTTTCCATTTTTTTTTATTCTAAAAAAAAATTTCCAACAGTGCTGTTCAACGCCAAGATTTTTGGATTCTTAAAATTAATGTTCAAAGAAGTAATACAAACGATTGAAATATTATGTCTGTACTTATGTAATGTATATCTAAATAAAAAGTGTATCTAAATGTATTTAAAATTGTTTCATAAAATGTAATGACATTAAATGTTATTTTAATTTCACCTATGTATAAGATAAAGCTTAAAATTTTGTTTGTTTCGTTTTTTTAGAAATAATTAATGACTTTTAATGATAATGACATTGTGCACTTAGCTAGTAATAGACTCTATATACTGCATGCACATTAATGAGCGGTATTCCTTTCGAATTGGGTCACGTTGGTTTGTTGTATTTTTGTCTTGTGTTATTGTTTGTTTTTTTGTTGTTTTTTTTTATAGCCGGGAAGGGGGTGTTTTGGTATTTTCCTAATGTGACCAAACATAGTTATACTTTTATTTGGATGGGTGGGTGTAGAGAGATTTAAAAAAAAGCCCTTGACTGGAGACACAGGAAGCCTTTTATTTCTTAGTGTTGTTAGAAATCCCTGACTTAAGAGTAACTTTAGATGGGCATTCTACGTCAAGTGTGAGAGAGAGAGAGAGAGAGAGAGAGAGAGAGAGGGCATGTCCAGAGTGATAGAGAGTAAGAAAAGAGTGCAGCGGAGACAGAGTGGAGCAGTGAAACAGTGGGAACTAGCATCGATGACAAAGAATATCCGTTATGATTTTATAAGCATTACTGGTGTGCGCAAACATATTTTTATAATAGTAAAGAGTTGATAGTGTGAAGAATTTTGCAAGTGTTACAGCAAATTTTTCTACGCCAACAACCGCGGTATAAAGTAATGCTGCTCAACACTAAATGGGTCACCAAGGCTTAAATAGTCCACCGATATCCTTACACTTTCATGGGGGCCGTCCACAAGGGAGGAAGGGGGGGGGGAAGGGGGTGTAAGAAAGTGTGACAGGGGGAGGGAGATCAGGCCATGTGTGACGTCACACATTTATTTTTACAAATTTTGTATTTCTAATTTATTTTTTTATTAGAATTTAATAGCTTTAAAAATAATTTTCACAAATTTTGTGAAACATTTGAATTAATTTTAAATAAAAATAGCATGAAATGCATATCTCCTGAATGAGTTGTTCACGATTCCTCTCACTAGGAGCGCTACTAACTATTCTACTATTAAAGTCATTTTAATTATGTGATAGTTCTTTTAAGAGGAAATTTTATATTTTAATACAGTGTGATTTAAATTAAATTTTAATGAGGTGTTATTTTTTTTAAAAATGTGTTCGAAAGTGTGACGTACTTTAGGGGGGGGGGGGTACGAAATTTGTAAGGGTTTGTGACAGGGGGATGGGATAATGTTGGTTAGTAAAAATGGTCAAAAATAGCTTGACGTACTTTATGGACGGCCCCATGTACGGCGGAAGTATCTATTTATTGAATAACTTTATGTTGAGCCATGTCTGGTGCTCCAATTATAATTTAATGACGGAGGTCGTGTGCCAGTCACCGGTGCGGAGCGTATTTGGTGTAGAGATTAATTGTGCAACTGTTGCTATTCAGTTTATACCGGTGATGTTTTTGGTTAGGAGAGATGACGTGTTTGTTATTATGGTTTTAGCAATAGGTATGCATGGAGAGAGTTGATGAAGGAGGCAAAGAGAAAAGCTTTATTATAGCTTTTAATAACCTTTTGAAGTATTCAACTTGGTGATATTGATGTTTGCTTATAATTGTGACGACAGTTAGGAACTCCTAAGATTACAATTTAGCCATCGACCTGCCTTGAAATGACAAAAATGTAGGCTATTTCAAGGTCTGGTATGCGTTGTATGGCACTGCCCATCTGTCGTCCACTTTGGAATGAAAGTTATATGGTCTTTAACCATCATAAGGAGTTCAAAAATATGGCTAAAAATGACCATGATGTTATAGCCACGATCAGAAAATATGGCAACCTGACTTATTTGTAACATTCACATGCATACCTAGTAGGAGAGAAATCAAGGAAAAATTTCTTCACGTTCGGCCAACATGCAACCGGCCTGATTTAGTAGCAAAAGTGTTTGATTTCAAGCTAAAATTGCTACGTAAAGACTTAACCAAACACCAAAGATTTGGACGTGTGAGGGCCATGCTTCACGAAATCGAGATCCATAAAAAACGTGTTCTACAACATGGGAACATATTGGTTTTTATGCCCACAAGAGTTTAAGCCTGGGAGAATGAAAGAATCGACATGAGCTTCCAGGTAATAAACCCATCACAAGCTACATACATTTTGTAAAATCCTGTAGAATACACGGTCCACGCAGTCCTTGAAATTCAAACGCAACGTGTTTGCAAAAAGCAAATTACGCAAAACAATTTCCAAAAAAATTATGTACCGAAATGGGAAAACCACGTATAAGAGGACATGTAACTGCAATTGGCAGAATTTTTACCGTAAATCCCACGGAAAGAAACAAAGTGCTCCCCCGAATTCTCCTTGGATGAGAAATATCTTTGGAGAACCTCACAACGGTCAAAGGAAATCATATCCTGTTTAGTAACTTTCAAAGAAGCATGCATTGTAAGGGAATTAACTTATGATGACTCAGAAGGGGATACTTACCTGCAACCGATCAAATGCCAGTATAACTTAGACAGTGGTTTCCATTCATTTTAATCACGTGCGAGCCATCGGATGCAGCAGCATTATTCGAAGATATAAGTAAAGTCATATGGAAGACTATAAGAGATGCTTTCCTGATTGAGAAAAAGCTCTTATTTTTTATAATTAAAGATATTAAATCTCTCCTTCGAGCACATGGAAAGTCATTTGCATAAATTGTCCTAGAACTTCCAGATGGATACATGACGATGAAATCTATTCATGAAAATATTAAGATCCCATTGGAGCAAAAATCAGTGTTCGAAGAAGAGTTTCAAATGCACTACCTCGCGCAAAGGAGGGCTTTCGACTAAATCAAGGAAGCAATGGAAAAACCTAACTAACCTAAACATCTTTTTTTTTTGATGGACCTGGCCGGAGTGTTAAAATCTTCTTTTACCACACAATAATGCACTAAGTGCCTTCTTTTTTTGCTATTGTGTTTTAGTTTTACTATAAAATATAGTGCGTTCAAAAATAAATTTGACGAAAATTATAAACTGTGAACTAAAAAAAAAGATTCGACGAAATTTCCATTCGATCAGATTTCGGTCAATCAATTTTTTCCGTCGACGAAATTACTTTTAAATAAATTTCCGGTAAAAAAAAATTCAGTACGGTTGTAATGACAACTCTGTAAAGGAGATAACTACACAACACACTATAAACGTTGCATATAAAATAAAAAAATTCATTAATATTTTGTTTTAAACTGACGTAATAATTGATCAACTTGATCAAACAAATGTACAGCTTTTTAAAGTAGGGATAAGATTAGGCATTTGGTAATTGCAATAACTACCATCTACATTGCCCAGTTACGCTTACTACATGATTCAGATGGGCTTAGTCAAGTGATGCTAATTGTTTAATGTGAGCTTGAAGTTAACCCTACAACACTCTTAAATCAACACTTTCAGAAATATTGTTTTTAACATTTATTTGCTTTAAGTCAGTGGTTCTTAACCTTTTTGGGGGTACTGAACCCATCAGTTTCATATGCGCATTTAACGAACCCTTCTTAATAGGAAAAATAAAATATGATTTTAAAAAAATATTTTTTTTGGACCTCCGCCGAATCCCTGAGCCTGACTCACCAAACTCCTGGGAATCGATCGAACCCAGGTTAAGAACGATAGCTTTAAGTGTAGCAAAAATTTTTTTTTTAAAAACTTTCCGAAAGGCAAAAAAATGACATGAAATTTTCGTTTTCTTCTTAAGCCGAAACTCTGTTAAGAACGTTTCATTAAACTTTAAACTTTCACTTCACCATTGACTTGGCCGTTCTTGAAAAAATAATTGCATTTGCAGCTGAAAATGGATCTGTCACCCAATATAAAATTTCATTAGGAAAATATCTCAAAATCGCTAAGTCTTGCACAATGTTTTAACAGTCTCAATGTATTTCAAACAGTAGCGTCACTAGGGGGTACACACAACCGGTCAAGGTGTTAACACAAATGGAAAATTTGACTGAGTTTACTAAGTCTGTATTATAACAGAACTCATTTAAATAAATAATCAGGGTGCCACAATATTAGGGTGCCACAAACTCAGGCTGCCACCATAACCGCTTGCTACCAGATCAAGGGGTCATCAACAAAGGGGGTAGCCATAAGAACAAGGTCTCACCATAGCAATTAGCCACCAGACATGGGGGTCATCATAGCAGTTTGCCACCAGACATGGGGGTCATCATAGCAGTTTGCCACCGGAACAAGGTGTGATCAGGTAGAGCATGTTGCCACATAACCAAAGTATCACAAGAAAGAGCAGGTAGCCACCAATAGAAATGTGTGAAACAAAGTATAGGAAAAACTTGGGTACAAAAAAAGAACGCAACACAACTACAAACGTGTCGACAAGAAGCCTTCACCAGCGAAGAAACAACAGAAAAACAGAATTAAATAAAAAATAGCATTCAGCGATAATGTAGTATCCGAGAGGGCAGCAAAAGGAATGTGCCACCACAGTAGGTTGCAAACAGAAAATGTAGTCGCTAGACAAGGGTGTCCACAGTGCGGACAGACTTAATGATGATCATCATCAGTCGCAATACAACCCATGAAGGGCCCTGGCCTTCTCCACCACATCCTTCCATTCGGAACGATCCATGGCTTTCCGCCTCCATGGGCGAACCCCCAACTAGTGTAAACCCTTCTCTTCATCGTCGATCCAGCTCAGCCTTAGGTCTCTGCCTGTATATTACTTATGCACAGACTTAATTAGGTTCCTAGGAATTTCTGAATAGGGTGGTTGGCACATTGAGTTTACCGCACTGACAAAAAGAGGAGAGGGGGGGGGGTGCGGTCCGTCCCAGGGGACACATTTTTTCTTGATATGGAGTTCGGGCATTTTCTGCCAACTGCAGTGTTTTCTCATGCAAGGGAGGGACAAAAATTGTGTCCCACCATTGGTAGCACTAGCCCCGATGTAAGTAGCGCCATGGATGTTATCATCTTGTTACAGGCTTCTGATCTAGGTCAGATGTTCTCGGATATTGCCAAATATCGATTTTGAGCTTTAGATAGATAAAAAAAAGTAGAGTTTATTTATTTGGCTTAAATAAGATTAACTCCTCCCCCCCCCCCCACCGCCCCACACACGAAAAGTTAAATTGATTTTTTTGAAGTATGCAAATATTTCTTGCAGAAGATAAGACGTGTCTTATGACTTTGGGATCAGAACATTGGCGTAGGAATGGGGTGCAAAGGGGGCAATTTGCAAAGGACGGCACTTTTTTTTTAAATTGAGGGAAGGCTTTTTATATTATTCATAAAGGCGTACTAATTTAAAACAAAAGGCTTCTAATTTGCTAATTGAAAACAACTACGACCTATGCCAAAGTCTAGTGAACCGTTGCCTGTCTTTGGACCATCATCCTGACGAGCACAGCCTGATGATTACGAAAGTTTAATTTAGGCCACTAAACAATGAGAATCAAGCAATGCTTAAAGCATAATCTGTTCATGTGGCAAGTAGGTAATCTAACGCTAAATTAGTGGTTCCAGGGGCGGCCCACCCCCTTTCCCAAGCCCTTGCTAGGACGCCACTGATGCGTAAGGTCATTTGCCTTTTCACGATATAAAAAAAAAACAACATGTGTGTTGTCGCGCAGGTTCGTCTTTCCAAGAAATCAACTGTTAACCCTTGACGAACTACTTTCAGTTTTGATTTGCTATGTATAAACTGCATAGCATTTTGGGATACTGTCTTATCATTCTATCAGATTGTCAAAATTATTGCCAGACACAGACACAGGTTGTTTTTTTATTATTGTTTATTTGTGGGTGTTAAATTACTATTATTATATAATAGTTAATGTCAATGGATCTTATACGTGTGTGATTCTTGTGTGCAGGATAAGCAAAGAAAAAAAATAGATATAAATATATCAGTTAATATTTTGTAGATTATATTAGCTGTAAGACCTATCGCTAGTTTTCTTTCCTATACACTGTATTAAAGCTTTGCAAAAGTTTTATTTTATATTAGTATCTATTAAAGGTCAAGTTTTCAAGTTTGGAAGTGAGTGGCCACTTTGTCTAGACATCAAATTGTGTAGTCAATGGTAGATCTGAAGCAAGAGGGAGCGCTCGATGGAAATTTCATTGCAAAATTAATTTCTCTTTCGCTTTCTCTTCCTCTGTCACTTTCTCTTCCTCTGTCACTTTCTCTTCCTCTGTCACTTTCTCTTCCTCTGTCACTTTCTCTTCCTCTGTCACTTTCTCTTCCTCTGTCACTTTCTCTTCCTCTGTCACTTTCTCTTCCTCTGTCACTTTCTCTTCCTCTGTCACTTTCTCTTCCTCTGTCACTTTCTCTTCCTCTGTCACTTTCTCCGTCTCCCGTTTTCCTGGCCCTTTTGTCTTTCTTTCTCTTCCTTTGCATCTTTCAGTGCATCTTTCTCTCTCTTTCTCTGTCTATCTCTAGATCATTCTTTCTATAAATTTCTTTTTTTTTTATAAAGAAGTTAGGAGTTGTTTAACGTTGACTCTAACCTAACCCATCAGGTCTAAAAGTATACAGAATTTATTTTATTTCATTTTTCTATACACGCACCTTTTAATAATGGCTTCTCTTAATTCATCAGCACCTATATTTACACTATATATACATAACTGAATATATTTTTAGAAATTTACATACGCCACTGAATATATCTACAATATAATTATTGCTGAATATATCTACAAAATATATATTACTGAATATAACTAAAAATATATTTTACTGAATATATCTACACTGTATATATAACTGAATAAATAGACGTTTCACATATACTTAATAAATCTACACTTTACATATCACTAAATACATATATACTATAAACATCACAGCCTATACCTAGAGTACATTCTTCAGTCATTACATTTACACTACTTACTTCACTGACTAAATCTACCCTACATTCTTCACTGAATATAATCTGCAGTATATACTTCACTGACTGAATCTACACCCCATACTTAACTGACTATCTCAGTACCGGTACCTACTTCACGAACTATATCTAAACTACATACTTCACTGACTATATCTACACTATATACATACGTAACTCACTATATTTACGCCCAACAAAAAATATGATATCCAAAAAAAATAATAATAAAATGCAACTGTGCAAGTATTTTTCGGAGCTGCTGTCAATCATAGTCGTGTACGTCAAGGGAGGGTTAAATCTTTAAGTATTGTAGTGAATATCAAATAATTGATAATGAAGAGTGTTTACGACATCAAACAGTCATTTATGTAAATGTAATTTGAGAACATTTTAGTTTTAAATTCCATCCTGTAGACCTTGCTTTGCCATCGTTATTTCTCCCACCCCCACAACCACACACACACTCAGACACACACGCACACACACGCACACACTCTCTCTCTACCACACACACACACCAATCATCTCTTCTTTAACTACATGAATAGTCACATATATTCGTTATTAGATCATACTTTTTTTTTTTCATTTCACTGATACTAGAAGCGTTTAAAAGGTTTTAAAATATCCAAGCTGTATATCGACGCTGGGGAAATTTACGAATCCCATATTGTTGTATTTATTGATTTCAGCTTTGACAATACGACTGAGTGGAAACTCGAAGGGTGGGCATAGTGTCATTGATTTTTTTATTTCAAATAAATTCTTAAACGGAAAGCCAGTCAGCAAAATGAATCCTCATACATGTCATTGAAAACGCTCGGTTGTCACTGATGAATACAAATTATACGTCCTGATGTGTGTGGTGGTGGTGCGTGATGTGTGGTGTATGGTGTGTGGTGTATGGTGTGTGGTGTGTGTTGTGTAGTGTATGGTGTGTGGTGTATGGTGCGTGGTGTATGGTGCGTGGTGTGTAGTGTATGGTGTGTGGTGTATGGTGTGTGGTATGTGGTGTATGGTGTGTGGTGTATGGTGTGTGGTGTGTGGTGCGTGGTGGGTGGCGTGTGGTGTGAAGTGCGTCTTTTCTTCTTCCATATTTTAAGGGCCCACGATCAATGTATTGATCATTCTGGCTCCTATGTTTGAGAGGCTTTTGAAGGCGTTGGTTGCAAGGGCTTGTACTCTTAATAGCAATATCCTGTGGAATGTTCGTTGTCCAGGTCGTTGTGACGTAATAAACGTACTTGAGGTGACTTCGTGTTTATTCTGATGAATAGTGGAGTCAGGAAATTTTATAGGCCCCAAGGGGGCGGTGATAACAAACAAAAAAGTTTGAAAAACACTGTTCAACTCTAAATTAACTGCATACATTCTTTTTCAAGTTTATATATGACTAATAAAATCGAACGCTTTTTAATTACTTTTTTGGGAAAGCGTGAATTTGTAAAGCATTTTATTTAGGGTACAAATTATTTGAAAATACAAATAAAAAATTTATCTAAAATAAAATAAATATTTTTAAATTATAGAATTTTCCAGGTAAAAAAATTATGAAAATTTAAACGGGATCTAACAGCCGGGTATGTTGGCTAGTAAACCCAGTGGTATAAGATAGCTATTTAGCTAAACGTTTAATGCGTCTAACGTGATCACCGAACACCTTGTCCGCTCTTGAACCGTTTGCAAAGAGTTTTCGAACTTTTTTCTCTGATACATTTTGTCCCGTACTTCTTTCTTTTCCACTTTTCAACACAGTCACTCCAATAAGTGAATCCCGCAACATAAAGCATATACATTTTGAACACATGGAAAGTTTATTAGTGCGTCTTTACACGACTATTTAGCGATTTTATTTTCAGATTTAATTGTTTTCATTAATTTTGTTGTCAGCCAAAAAGCACGATACATCCTTTATATTTCTAAATAGGAAATTAAAAACGTATTTCATTCGTTCATGACACAATAACATAATTTGTTAAGTAAGCCTACTATTTACAAAACGTATAGCTGGCCTGGTGCAAGTGCACCATGGTTAATCTGGCACTGCCTGTGAGCTATTCATTCAACCTGCTTATATTTTATTTAGTTAATGTCAAAATTTTATAGAAGTGGGTAATTTAAACCAAATCTGAAATTTGATAATCGTATATGATATTTAAAATACTGCATGATTTAATTTTTCTTTCAGAATCTGATGGAGCTGTAAAAAAAAAATTATCCAATCCAATCTCCTTCAATCCCTCACTCTGGTTTTATGTCTCAGTCAGATACAAGGAGAACTCTCTCCAATGATAGTTGTGGTTTAATCCCAATGCAGGTAGGTTGCCTGGATGCATGTTGGAATTATTGGATTTAAACTACTGATTATTATCACCGGTATATATTTTTATATGACACTTTTTTAACTAGATTTTCTGTGAAGACATCGTGAGTAAATTGAGGAATTATTAGAATTTTTTGAATAATTCACTCATGAGTATTTAAACTACTGATTATTATCACCGGTATATATTTTTATATGACACTTTTTTAACTAGATTTTCTGTGAAGACATCGTGAGTAAATTGAGGAATTATTAGAATTTTTTGAATAATTCACTCATGAGTTTGGTCAAGTACCTAATAGATTTTGAAATATTTTTGTCATATTATGATTAAATATTGTTTTTAAAAATTATATTTTCACCATTAATTTAGAATTTGTATATAGAAAATAAATTCTATAAAAAGTGTGAGATTTTAAAAATGATATTTATTAAAAATGAATTGCTTTCAGTCTTTGTACTGGGAAAAAATATTGTTTTTTTTTCATTAGATTATTTGTCAAGATAAAAATCTTAAACCATTTTAAAATCAGCATAACCCAATGGCCGCTTCTATGTATGGGAGTCAAGTAGTTCAGGTGAACAGATCTTCACCGTCTCCTGCAAATGTATCACAGCAAATAAGAAATCTACAAATGAGACAGCAGCAACTGGAGCGCTCGGTTGTCATCAGGGACAATGAACGGCAACAGAATACAGACGAACTGATTAAAATTATAACAGAAAGAAATGACCGGATTATTGCTGACAGCCAGCAAGTGATGCAAGAAGTGCGTGATAGCACAGGTGCAGTTAAGGAATATGTGGAGCAGAATTCAGAGCTGATCAAAGATCTGAAGGTAAGTTTGGTCTATCATGTACATGTTTGTGGGGAATAATTTAAACATTGATTAATGAATGGGATTTCAAAAATATTTATTACAACTAAACTTTAAAAATTGGAAAGCCCTATCATTATTAGCTGTGGGGATGCATTATTTTTTTATTAAAGGCCTGTTGTATTGTTTATCTCTGTTCACTATATGAGATAATTACTTCAGGTTATTTTTGTTGTTTGAATTTTTTAAACTCTTCCATTTTTTTAAAGGGCTTTTTGGGAGAGAGCAAAGATGTAATCGTCGAAATGCAGGTATGATTTGATAAAACTATTCATATTAATTGATTTAAGACAAATGGATTATTTATTTGATTTTAAACTCTTCCATTTTTTTAAAGGGCTTTTTGGGAGAGAGCAAAGATGTAATCGTCGAAATGCAGGTATGATTTGATAAAACTATTCATATTAATTGATTTAAGACAAATGGATTATTTATTTGCTGAAATGTCTACATTTTGAAATCTGTTTTTTTCCGACAAACACATATTTTATTTAACAGGTGTTTATGATTTGAGAAATTTTAAAAATCTCATGGCCACTAAAAATGTTAAAATACACATTTTAAATTAAAAACTACACCGGTATTATGTGTCTTAAAGATTATTAGATCTAATACTATTTGTGAAGTTCTTGTCCATTTCATTTTACCAGAAAGAAGTAAGTAGCTTGATACATTTATCAACTACCAAAAGCAAAATTCGTCAAGTTCCACTTCACCTAGGTAATGTAGACGAAGGAAGATCAATGCATTTGGGACACCTTCATGAGCCTTACAGTGAAACCATAGGATATCAACAATTGCCCATTAACGTTTCTTTAGATTTTCAACAGCAAGCTGCAGCTAGAACAAATTCTCAAGTCCCCGATACCATGACTGCACAGTTTCAAAACTCAGGCCACTACCAAAATTTGGGTATCCCAATGGGAGAATACCAACAGCCATATATTCCAACTCATTACTACCAAAAGTTAGGTACCGGTACCTTTACATACATCCATCCAGGGCCAGGTTTATTTGCAGCACAGTTTCCTGCAAATTATGCCCATCCAGGAAAAGAGAACACTACTCAACAGGTGGGTATTAATGCGCTGGTGACTTTAAAACCCTATGACCACTTCCATTGTACCAGAAATAGAATAAAATACGGGAAAGAGATGATCAAACTTCATGTCTCCTCATGCTCCTGAATAGATGATCTGCGGATGTGCTTAACATAAATTACTGCTACCTGTCAGGCCCCACTCCTTACATTTGTTTACCTCCCCCTTTTCATGTTACAACTTCTCATGTGCTCTCATCTTTTCCATGTTACAATTTCTTCTCTGCTCGTTTCTTTTCCATGTTACAATTTCTCTTGTGCTCTCAACGATTTTTCAACAATACTGAAACAGTGAAAGCTGTGTGAAAATATTTTCACCATGAAATGTTTCATTTTTAACACAAATCTTAATTTTTTAAAAAAGTTTTCATGGACCATTTAAATCTATACAGCACTGATCTAGATATGTACTAGATATGTACTTAACGTATTTGGAGGGGGAAAGGTCTCGTAAAAATGGCTTTATTATATTTATTTCTACTTATTCACTGTGCTTAATAAAAAAAAAAATTATTTAAATATTTTCAATATCTTAACCTTCACTTTTGTCATGAAGAATAATTTATTTAACAGTGTTAAATTTCTCTAATTAATATTTAGCTAAAGGAATAAACAACATTGTTACTGATAATCCTTGTTTCTCAATATTAACTGAAAATTATAAAGCCACCAAAATTTTAACGTAATTTTTCTTTGTCCCGGATACTTGTAAGTCCCTCTCCCCACTTTTCCCCTCTCTCATCTCGTATAAAAAAGGAAAATAAATCATATTGAAAAAATCATCCATTATAACATTGTTCTCCAATATTTTTTTTTTATGTCTCTATGATGTATCTATGTCATCTCAACCAGAAATTTAGTAAAGGTGAGAAGAAGAGTCAATCTCTAAAAGTACATCAACACAGTTTTACAGCTCCTTCATTGCCTGGCATCAATAACCCATTGCACGGAGCACAAAGTCAAGAACCACATACATACACAACCACGGTGGACAGGGCAGAGATCCCACAGGAACTGTTAGACAATGTGTTAGATAAAGTAAAACAGGAAATGAAACAAGTAGAGAAAAAACAACATGAAGAAAAAGAAAGGGAAGAAGTTCTGAAAGCACAAATGAAAGAATTCATTAAGGCCAATAAAGAAATGCAAGAGAAAGTAAAGGAACAAACAGAACAGAGGAGAAGAGAAAAAATTGAAATGGAACATAAGAAACTAATGGGACAGAAAGAAATGTTAATAAAAGAAAGGGAACAAACCGAAAAATTGGAAAGAAAACAGAGAAGACTAGAGGAAGAATTAGTAAGAAAACAAATGGAGGACAAACTTAAATTGGAAAAAATTCAAAATGAGCTCATGCAATTAAAACAAAAGCAAGAAATTCAACAGAGAGAAGAAATAGGAAATGTGCTAAGACAGCTTAAAGAAAAGGAAGAAACCGAACAAAGTGAAGAAAAAAAACAAAGAGAAGAAACGCAACAAATGGAACAAGCAAAATTGAAACTACTGGAAACAATTTACAAAGGACAATTGGAGCAAAAGGAAACGTTCATGCAAATACAAAAAGAACTGAAAGAAGTAAAACTTAAGGAAGAAATGAAACTGAAGGAACTGATACAACAGAAACAAAGGGAAGAAATCCAACAAAGGGATCAAGCTAATATGAAACTACTGGAAACGATGCGCCGAGAGCAAAAAGAGCAAAAAGAAAAATTTGAGCAAATTCAAAATGAGCTCCAGGAATTGAAACAAAAGGGAATCCCACAACATTGGGAACTAATGCAGCAAAGGAAGCCTAATCATCAAGAAAAAAACAGAGATGCAGAGTTCAAAGTTCAAATACAAAGTGAGGAAACAGATGCAAATGATTTTAATGACTGCAACCAAAGATCCAATGGACCAAGATCAATTTATACGACACCAAGTGGCAGGCAAATCATCAAACCTACTAAATTCACCATTTCCTCACATCGATCAATTTCTGACAGTATATTCTGCAGCCAGACTGGGGAATCAAACAATATCTTATGTTCTGGAATATTGGCGAAACATGATCATGACAAAGAAGCAACCAACACAAGTGACTTTTGTCATACAACTATGAGATTTAAACAAGCTTTGGAAATTCAGACTGAATCAAATGAACCCAAAATCCCAAAAGAACCTGAGAGATCTGATAAAATCCAGAGTTTTACGTCAAGCAACAAATGCCTTCCAGATTCTGAAAAATCAGTAAGTTATCTTAGTTTTTTTCTGTTTTAAGTTCTTTGAGCATTTTTTTTTTTCTATAATCTAAAAGTTAGAAAGACTGATGTAAGATTTTTTAAAAACTGAAGCATAAACATTTAACGCGCTGAATTTGGGATCTGCATTCTTTCTGAGCAGGTTAACAGTATTATTTATATTTATTATTAATCATTATTTTTTTTTTAAAATAGATCAATCAGTGGGAAATCTTAGTGAAACCTATAGCAGGTCAAGCAGAGAATTTTTATAGCCTCTCAAAAGATGTGACAGGTAATTAAATTGATTTCCATGCAAAAAAAAAAAAAATGTAAGTAGTTGTTTAAGTATATTTAATTTTCTCTAAAGGACTAGCCTTAAATGGCAGATAACAAATAGTAGTAACGTTATTAATACATAATTTTCAAATAAATTTAAAGTATTTGATCATGTAAAATTTAAAATAAAATTTCAATAAGGCCCTTAGTTAAGATTAATTTAATGGGATTTTTTCTGGTGATTTAATTAATATATTAAAATTTAAGATTTTGTTATAAAATTTCAGATAACATTATTGTTATTATTCTTTAAACAATTTAATTGTATTAGTAACAGACTCTAAGTAATACCTCCATAAAAATGTATCATTATGTATTTATATTTGTTTTTATATTTGGATATAACTTTTACAATTGTTATAAACCGTCCACCTTTTACAGAAAGGTTCAATGAAGAGGAAGATGAACAAGTGGTATTTGAAAATGATGATTCCTCAAGTGACTCTTCTGATCAGGCTTCAAGTGATTTATCTAGTGAAGATTTCAGTATCTACGATGGCCCTAAATATGAAGGGATGGTGTACCGAAGCAAAGCACTCACATTTTTCCCTACAAGGGATGCAGGAATATCTGAAAATTTTGAGCATGGTATGTTGTAATTGAAGCTAACAAATCAAAATATAATTTGATTTTTGATCATGTCTATCAGTTGTTTTTTTTTAATGATTGACACATCACTAGTATATTTTTTCTGAAAGATGGTGACATATTTTTATTTTAGTATTAAAGATATAGTAAAGAGTAACAGTGGTGTAGCTAAGATTGGTATCACCCGGTGCGGTTAACTCATGGTGTCATCCCAGAGGCGTAGCGAGTGGGGTGCAGGGGGACAGATGTCCCCGGGCGCCAGATGTCCCCGGGCGCCAGGTAGTTAGGGGCGCCAAAATGCGCTTTGATATTGTTTTATTGATGAAAATAATGGGTTTGAGAGTTGAAAAAAAGAAAAAGGGGGCGCTTTAAAATGGATCTTGTCCTCGGGCGCGAATCTTGTCCCCGGGCGCGAAACACCCTCGCTACGCCGCTGTGTCATCCTCCCCCCCCCCCTTTTGCGCGCATTCCATGAGGGATTTCTTCTTGTTAAATTAAGTCAACAGTATTAAAATGTTTTTAATTTTTTTACTGATTCAATTACTCGGGCGCGAATCTTGTCCTCGGGCGCGAAACACCCTCGCTACGCCGCTCTGTCATCCTCCCCCCCCCCCCTTTAGCGCGCTTTCCATGAAGGATTTCTTCTTGTTAAATTAAGTCAACAGTATTAAAATGTTTTTAATTTTTTTACTGATTCAATTCATGAACTTAGAATCGCCCGACCACACTGTATATGGTGTCAATGGAGAGCCTTATCACTCAGAATTTCTATAATTATAGCTTCATGTCCCTTGCGAAAGATACCGAACACTTAAATCGGCGTTAAAACATGGCCTAAACAGTGTTTTCTGACCTAACAATAGTGTCACTTCATCAGGGCCAGACTTGGGTTGCTTGAGCCCCGGCAAGCTTAGCTTTGGTGTCCCTTTTATCGATAACGATATAATTTATGGCAAGGAAAAAAATGAAGGCTTAGGTGATGAGTTTATTACCTAACGTTTTGTTTTTAACAAACAATGAACAATAATATTGTTTTTCTTAACTTGTTTTTTTGGACAGTATGAACAATTAGCCTGCCGATGACACTTCTTAGCAGCCTTTAAATCAGCAAATATTTTTATTGCACTTTCTATGTATCTTCCAAGGCGCTAAAATGCAATGCTTTTTCCTATTTTGGAAGATCATAAATAATGCCCTAAGCACATGGCGACCTGGCCATTGCCTGTGCCAGAGAGGCCACTACCATGAGCTAACCCTGCACCTCATTTCTGATGCATCAACCTTAATCGTTTAATAAAGCACGCATTTGGATTGGTTACATGTATGGACAATTTACGTTTGATCGGTTATCCTTTGATCAGTTAGACATAGCATTAGAGCATTATTTGCTCTGTAAATATGCAGTTTTTTGAATTTGGTGTCACCCACTGAGATAGTGCCACCCGACGCGAGCCGCACCACCTATCTACGCTACTGAAGATTAAATATACTTACATATATCTATAAGCATATTTATTTTATCTTATTTAAATAGATTTGATATCGTTAAGATGAAAAAATTACTATTATATATTATTTTAAAGACAGCCCTTTCCTTTAGTGCATGGAGTTTAATTTTCTTTGTCATTGAACACATAATATTTTACATGAAATTTTATATTGTTCCTGAAATTGAAATATGTGTTATACGGTCACATTAACTCATTCTTATATACCGGTAGATATGTTTTACTAAGTCTATATATTAAAAGGCTAATATTAATGGGTATTAATTATTATAACAGTTAAGTAGGTTCTAACTTTTCTTTCTAGCCTATGCCCTACAAATTATCGTAATTTTATGGATATATATTTCAGTTGCCATCTTAAGATTAGAGCCAGATGAAAGTGACAGAAACAGACAGAATGTGAGGGATGAAGATAATGAACGTTTCAACAATGACAATGAAAAATACCAAATAAGTTCTGGTCCATGCAGTATTCCTCATCATATAATTGAAGTGAACGGGAATAAATCAGTTCTAAAAAATGGAAACAAATGTGATCATCAGTTATCTTATGACTACAAACACTTACAAGATGATAGACGTTATAATTTCGCCAGTGAATCGAATACAAATTTTAACTTGGAAAACCAAGGAACACAATCTGGAATCTGTGTGGAAGGCTGTGTACAAAACAAAACAATACCAACCCATTGCAGTTTTCTAGAGAGTGCAAGCTATGCAGGACAGGTGGGATGCACAGGAAAATTGGTAAGCACTGGACAAGAGGGAAGTATTGGACATGACAGAAATGCAGGACATTGGGAAGGTTCACGTCTAGGTGGATACAAAGAAGAATTAGAAGATATGAGACCTGCAGGAAATAGAGGAAAAGAAGAGAGTACTAAACAAGGGGGCAGTAACGAAAAAGTTGGAAATACACGACTATGGGAAGAAAATGGTCAAAGGGGAAATACAGGACAATGGGTAAATACCCGACAGTGGGAAGGTAATGGTCAATGGGAAAGTGCAGGACATTGGGGAAATACACAACAGTGGACAGATAATGGTCAATGGGGAAATAAAGTGCAATGGGTAAATACCCGACAGTGGGAAAATAATGGTGCATGGGGAAATGCAGGAAAATGGGGAAATACCCAACAGTGGGAAGATAATACAAAAACAGGGTCTTCAGGAGAGGCAGGAAATATGAGCATAGGGATTGAGAATGAATTTTTCCTAAAAACTGGAGAGGGGGCTACCACAGAAGAGAATAAAAATAAAGGTGGCGGTGCTACTACAGAAGTGATACCAAATATTGGTATGAATGTTACTATAATAGAAATGGTAAAAAGTAAGATTAAAGATGCAACTTCAAAAGTAGAACAAAATACATGTGGGGATGTTACTAAAGAATGGGATCAGAATACAGATGGGGTTGTAACTATAGAAGGGAATGAAAACACAGGTGGGGTTGTTGCTACACAAGTGGATCAAAATACAGGTGGTGTGGTTATTACAGAACTGAATCAAAATACAGGTGGGGTTGTTACTACAGAAGTGGATGAAAACACAGGTGGGGTTGTTTCTAATGAAGGAGATAAAAGCACAGGTGGGGTTGTTTCTACAGAAGGGGTTCAAAACAAAGGTGGGGTTGTTACTAAAAAAGGGGGTCAAAACAATGGTGGGGTTGTTACTACAGAAGGGGGTCAAAATACAGGTGGGGTTGTTACTACAGAAGGGGGTCAACAGACAGATGGGGTTGTTACTACAGAAGGAGGTCAAAACAAAGGTGGAGTTGATACTATAGAAGGGGTTCACAATGGTGGTACGGTTGTTACTACAGAAGTGGGTCAACAGACAGAAAGGTTTGTTACTAAAGAAGGGGGTCAAAACAAAGGTGATGTTGTAACTACAGAAGCGGGTCAAAACACAGGTGGGGTTGTTACTACAGAAGAGGATAAAAAAACATGTGGGGTTGTTACAACAAAAGTGGGTCAAAACACAGGTGGGGTTGTTACTACAGAAGGGGGTCAAAACAGAGATGGCGTTGTTTCTATGGAAGGGGAGGAAAACACAGTTGGGATTGTTACTACAGAATCAGATCAACTGACAGGTGGGGTTGTTTCTACAGAAGGGGGTCAAAACAGAGGTGGCGTTGTTACTACAAAAGGGGGTCAAAACACAATTTGGGTTGTTACTACAGGAGGGGGTCAAAACAATGGTGGTGTTGTTACTACAGAAGGGGATCAAAACAATGGTGGGGTTGTTACTATAGAAAAGAATATAAACACAGGTGGGGTTGTTATTACAGAGGGGGGTCAAAACAAAGGTGGGGTTGTTACTACAGAAAGGGATAAAAAGAAAGGTGGGGTTGTTACTACAGAAGGGGATCAAAACAAAGGTGTGGTTGTTACTACAGAAAAGGATCAAAACAATGGTGGGGTTGTTACCGTAGAAAGAGATCAAAACACAGGTGAGGTTATTACTACAGAAGGTGATCAAAACAAAGGTGGGGTTGTTACTACAGAAGAGGATCAAAACAAAGGTGTGGTTGTTACTACAGAAGAGGATCAAAACAAAGGTGGGGTTGCTACTACAGAAGGGGATCAAAACAAAGGTGGTGTTGTTACTACAGAAGGGGATCAAAACAAAGGTGGGTTTTTTACTACAGAAGGGGATGAAAATAAAGGTGGGGTTGTTACTAAAAAAGGGGGTCAAAACAATGGTGGGGTTGTTACTACAGAAGGGGATCAAAACAAAGCTTGGGTTATTATTACAGAAGGGGATGAAAACAAAGGTGGGGTTGTTACTACAGAAAGGGGTCAAAACACAGGAGGGGTTGTTACTACAGAAGGGGATCAAAACAAAGGTGGGGTTGTTACTTCAGAAGGGGATCAAAGCAAAGGTGGGGTTGTTACTACAGAAGCGGGTCAAAACAATGGTGTGGTTGTTAATACAGAAAGCGATCAAAACAAAGGTGGGGTTGTTACTAAAGAAGAGGATCAAAACAATGGTGGGGTTGTTACTACAGAGGGGGGTCAAAACAAAGGTGGGGTTGTTACTACAGAAAGGGATCAAAACAAAGGTGTGGTTGTTACTACAGAAAGGGATCAAAACAAAGGTGGGGTTGTTACTAAAGAAGATGATCAAAACAATGGTGGGGTTGTTACTACAGAAGGGGGTCAAAACAATGATGGGGTTGTTACTACAGAAAGGGATCAAAACAAAGGTGGGGTTGTTACTACAGAAAGGCATCAAAACAAAGGTGGGGTTGTTACTACAGAAAGGGATCAAAACAATGATGGGGTTGTTACTACAGAAAGGGATCAAAACAAAGGTGGGGTTGTTACTACAGAAAGTGATCAAAACAATGATGGGGTTGTTACTACAGAAAGGGATCAAAACAAAGGTGTGGTTGTTACTACAGAAACTGATCAAAACACTGATGTGGTTGTTACTACAGAAAGGGATCAAAACAAATGTGGGGTTGTTACTACAGAAAGGGATCAAAACAATGATGGGGTTATTACTACAGAAAGGGATCAAAACAAAGGTGGGGTTGTTACTACAGAAAGGGATCAAAACAAAGATGGGGTTGTTACTACAGAAAGGGATCAAAACAAAGGTGTTGTTGTTACTACAGAAAGGGATCAAAACAATGATGGGGTTGTTACTACAGAAAGGGATCAAAACAAAGGTGGGGTTGTTACTACAGAAAGTGATCAAAACAATGATGGGGTTGTTACTACAGAAAGGGATCAAAACAAAGGTGTGGTTGTTACTACAGAAACTGATCAAAACAAAGGTGTGGTTGTTACTACAGAAAGGGATCAAAACAAAGGTGTGGTTGTTACTACAGAAAGGGATCAAAACAAAGGCGTGGTTGTTACTACAGAAAGAGATCAAAACAATGATGGGGTTGTTACTACAGAAAGAGATCAAAACAAAGGTGGGGTTGTTACTACAGAAGAGGATAAAAACAATGGTGGGGTTGTTATTATAGAAGGGGGTCAAAACAATGATGGGGTTGTTACTGCAGAAGGGGATCAAAACAAAGGTGGGGTGGTTACTACAGAAGGGGGTCAAAACACTGGTGGGTTTGTTACTATTGAAGGGGGCCAAAACAATGGTGGGGTTGTTACTCTAGAAGGGGGTCAAAACAAAGGTGGGTTTTTTACTACAGTAGGGGGTCAAAACAAAGGTGGGGTTGTTACTACAGAAGGGGGTCAAAACAAAGGCGGGGTTGGTACTGCAGAAGAGGGTCAAAACAAAGGTGGGGATGTTACTACAGAAGGGGATCAAAACAAAGAGGGGGTCAAAACAAAGGTGGGTTTTTTACTACAGTAGGGGGTCAAAACAAAGGTGGGGTTGTTACTACAGAAGGGGGTCAAAACAATTGCGGGGTTGGTACTGCAGAAGAGGGTCAAAACAAAGGTGGGGTTGTTACTACAGAAGGGCATCAAAACAAAGGTGGGGTTGTTACTACAGAAGAGGATCAAAACAAAGGTGGGGTTTTTACTACAGAAGGGGATCAAAACAAAGGTGGGGCTGTTACTATAGAAAGGGATCAAAACACTGTAGAGGTTATTACTACAGAAGGGGATCAAAACAAAGGTGGGGTTGTTACTACAGATGGGGATCAAAACACAGGTAAGGTGGTTGCTACAGAAGGGGTTGAAAACACAGTAGGGGTTTTTAATACAGAAGGGAGTCAAAACAGAGGTGTTGTTATGACTACAGAAGTGGGTCAAAACACAGGTGGCGTTTTTACTACAGGAGGGTGTCAATATACAGGTGGGTTTATTTCTACAGAAGGGGGTCAAAACAAAGGTGTGGTTGCTACTACAGAAGGGGTTCAAAACAAAGGTGGGGTTGTTATTACCGAAGGGGGTCAAAACACAGTTGTGGTTGTTACTACAGAAGGGGGTCAAAACAAATGTGGGGTTGGTACTATAGAAAGGGATCAAAACACAGTTGAGGTTATTACTACAGAAGGGGATGAAAACAAAGGTGGGGTTATTATTACAGAAGAGAATGAGAACACAGGTGGGGTTGTTTCTACAGAAGGAGGTCCAAACACAAGTTGGGTTGTTACTACAGAAGGGGTAAAAAACACAGGTGGGGTTGTTACTGCCGGAGTGGGTAAAAATGCAGGTGAGGTTGTTCCTGAAGGTGTGGTTGAAAATAAAGGTAGGGGTGTTACTACAGAAGGTGATTATAATATAGGTGGGGATGTTATTACAGAAGATGATCGAAATCCAGCGTGGGGTGTTACTAAAAGTGTTGATCAAAATACAGTTAAGGTTGCTACAGAAGGCAAACAAAATTCAGGAAAGTATTTTATTAAAGGAGGGGATCAATTTAAAAGTTGGGTTACTACTATACAAGGGAATCAAACTACCGGTGGAGATGTTACCACAACAAGAGTTCAAAATACAGGTAGGGGTGTTACTACACTAGTTAATCGAAATACAGGTGGGAGGATTGCCACAAGAAGAGTAAAACATACAGGTGGGGGTTTTACTAGAGGAGGAGATAAAAATACAGGTTGGGGCGTTTCTGCAGGAATTGATCAATATTCAGGTTGTGGTCTCGTTACAGAAATTGAGGAAAATACTGTTTTAGGTGTCACTAAAGAAGGTGCTCAAAAGACAGGTTGTGGTATTACAACAGGAGTGGATCGAAATACAAGTGAGGGTATTTTTACGGATGTGGTACAAAATCATGAAAAGGGGTTATCTTTTAATAGTATCTCACTTGCTGAAGATGTTTTCAATTTGGGTCCAAGGGAAAATGAAACTTTGATGAGTGGTCCGAGAAGGGGACGGTGCGTACGCCCCACAAAATATGGTAACAGAAAGAAAACCCCGAAATGACGACTGAGGATTTATCTGGGTACCGGTACGTGGGGAATGTGGGAAATACAGGCGGCTCAGAAAATGATACTGTTTGGAGCAATAACTATTTTAGATTGAAAAGAAAATACAAGGAATTTATTTTTTTGAAATATTTGATGTGATTCCGATAGTCTGCTTAGTGATTTTCTGCATAGCCAATGTCTGAATATATTAAAATAACTGCATACTAATATTACTATATATGTTTAGAGCAAGAGGTCATAGAACAGGGGTCTGGTGAAACAAAAGTGAAATGCGTGATATTTACAGATGATTATTTGAAAGAAGCTTTTTTTTTTTTTTTTCAAACTACTGTATATTGTATAATTCATTTATGCCAAGTTTTTAATGCATTTGTGGATTATTTTTTTATTTTTAATTTTGATGTNTTTATAGTTGATTATTTGAAATAAGTTTTTTTTTTTTTTTCAAACTACTGTATATTGTATAATTCATTTATGCCAAGTTTTTAATGCATTTGTGGATTATTTTCTTATTTTTAATTTTGATGTTATTGTTAAAGAAGTTATTGCATGGCCCGATTTCCATCAAATGTTGTGAGCAAAACATTGCCCTCATTTCGACTATTTATGTCAAGAAGTTGAGACAAAAAAGCATAACATTAATAATAATCAAAAGAGCGTAGTAATAATTTATATATATAAATTTTAATATATATATATATATATACATATTTATATATAACTTGGTATTTAACCCAGTCTTTATATTAACCTTAAGATTACTTAAGCGTCTCCTCTAGTCAACATTGTCGAATACTTACGTCAAAGATTCACTGTCTAACTCTTGCTCCAACGTCCAATGAATCCAATGCCTTTCAGACTATAAAATTGTGTATTCAACATAAATTGGTACCGATGTCAGTCTCTCCCTATTTGTGTACAGAAAAATAAATGTTTCTAAGATTTCCTAAATAAGTACCTCAAAATCAAGGACATCGACCTGAACTTTTGACAAATGCTTGCTGTAGATCGCAAAAGCTCGCGAGGCAGGCTCCCAGTTGGAGACATACTCACTGCTGGAGTAGATCGCGAGGCAGGCTCCCAGTTGGAGACATACTCACTGCTGGAGTAGATCGCGAGGCAGGCTCCCAGTTGGAGACATACTCACTGCTGGAGTAGATCGCGAGGCAGGCTCCCAGTTGGAGACATACTCACTGCTGGAGTAGAAACTTCAGAACCTAAACGAACCGCTCACGTCCAAAGAAAGTGCACAGCATGGAAAAGCATAAATGCCTCCAATACTACTAGGACACCACAACCGGTGTGTCCCCATGAGCGGGGAAGATTCCGGACACACTTGAGACTCGCAGGCCACCCGCGTAGGTACTCACCGTCGAATATAGTGTCGGTCGTATTCACCCCGCGAAGGACGGACAACAACAAATCCAACCTACATGCTCAAATTAAACGAGTACCTCTTTATTATATAAAAATGGGAATCCTTCCTTTTAGTTCGCACTGTACGGTGGGGTGAGGTAACGCAACACCTCCCCGGAGAGGAAGCAAAGCCGTTCTGACCCACGTCCACACAACTCCCAGGATCGGTGGGAGGGAGGTAAGCTCGAGAATACTCCCGGAGTGGCTGTAAAGCCGTGCCACACCAAGGAACGTACGGCTCACTGGGCGGGGGGGGGGGGGGGGGGGCAACGCAACGCCATCCCCGGAGACGAAGCAAAGCCGTTCCAACCCAACGTCCAGACCGCAAGACTCATCGGGCAAGGGGGGTTGTGACGCAAAACTGTCCCCTCATGAGTGGAAGCAAACTGCCCAGAAAACCTTTTACTCGAGACCGTGTTGCATGGCCGGAGTCCCCAGGGCCGAGGTCCTAAGAGATAGAATCTCGACCTCCTTAGAGTATTGAACTTTATTAGTTCGCATTGCAGCAGTGATGCTCCATAGTTCATCTTAGTGTTTATGGAAGCTGCTGAGCTCTTTATAATAATTTTAATCAGAAGACGTGACCGTTTACATAAAATATCCACATTGTCCGTGAAAAAAATAATAGCGTTCTGCGTAAGAGACTCGTGACTTGATAAGGTAACAAATGATACAAGTATATCATTACTTCTCCGCTTATTTTGAACCTATTTTATTTTTTAATTTTATGTAAATTGGAAGCCTAATGAATTTCAGTATTACCTGCTGGTATGGGAGTCCATCGTCTGACATCAGACACTGATTAAATAATATACAAGTCAAGAGAGATAGTAATTAGAAATATCTCACGAACTGCTTAGCATCCTTCTTGAAATCATGAACTATTTGAAAAAAAATTATGTTCAAAAACTAAAAAAAGAAATATTTAAAAAAATGGTTGATACATCATACCCCTTCATCACAGATTCAGAAGATCAGCTCAAACAAGGGGTGTTCTTTTTAATTAAATTTAGGGCCTAAGAGGCCCAGTCTGTACGATTTTACCAGCGAGCTCCCCCCAGCGGTTACCAGTTGTGAATGATCAATAATTTGACTAATTTAGTCATTATTTTCACTATGGGAGTTCATTGGTGGTTAATTTCTACGCTAGAGAAATAATTTAGATGTCTTGTGTTTACATTTTTATAATTGTAAAACGTTGTCTCGGTTAAAATATGTATTTATTTATATGCTTCACAATGATTATGTCTAATGTAATCAAAAAATATTTCAATTTATTTGATTTAATAAAAAGAATCTTATACTATCAATTTCGGGTATCAATATTTAGTGTAATACCTCAACTGAGTACATGTTTCATAAACCTATTTGAAAGTGTTTTTACTCAAAATTAGTTTCATTTTAATATTTCTTTAAACATTGTTCGATGGCTAAAATTGTAGAAATTATTCAAGAACAGTTAACATGCCTGTGAATGTTCATTAACTACTCCCTTACAAATAAACAAAATATAAAATAACAATACACTGAGTCTGTATTCAAATGTTTTATATTGCAGTCTATTTTAATTAATTAACACTAATATCATAAAATATTGAACCGTTTTCAACAAAAAAATCGTGTCTGCTCATCAGTTTAAGTGAAACTTGGACCCTAACGAAAACGGCAGAAAACCTATTAAACCTATTGGAGAGTAAATTTCTCCGAAAAATATACGGACAAACAAGTGATGGAGAATACGAACAAACCAGGAATTTTATGGACTATATCAGGATCCCTATGTTGGTTATTGGTAGCAGAAATTTAAAAAAGGAAGACTGTTCTGGGTGGGACATTTATAAAGAGCTACAGAGGAGTGAAGTGGGCGCACAACAAAAACCTGACAGGAAAATGGCTCAAAGGCAAAACTAGGCTAAGACTTAGATGGGTGGATGCTGTGGAAAAGATCTACATCAGCTGGGAATCGAAACATGAAAATAGAAAACATCAGTTAGGTCTGAGGGGATGGAAGTAGTGAGGCAGACCAAAGCCCTTCATCGGATGTAACGTCACAGGGATTGATGGCGAATACCATTTTGCTTGAAATGGTTAGGGTTAGGGTTAGGGTTAGGGGTAAAATACAGGGATCAAATTTAATTTTTTGTCAGAGTTTTTGCTTTAATAGAAAACAGTGAACAATTTCTTGAAAAGTGGGGAGGTGGCATATGTCACAAATGACTTGGGTTAGGGTTAACAACAGAGCTCCATTGTTCTTCAGATAATTTATAGGGTGGGAGGAAATTGATGTGATTTTGGGAGCGAATTGTTAGGCGCATGAGGTAAGGTTAATAGATTCTCGCATCTTTTAGATTGTGGGGATGTTTCTTTCCAAAATATTATGTCTAGGGCCTCCAGACTTCGCGTGATAATTTTGGTGTTAACTACGGAAATTCCTAACTGCCCGGAAAAGACGGGGTTATGGATGGGTTAATAGCTAGCATTCCTGGACCACCTGGGGAGGTAGATAATTGCACATAAGATAGAACTCTTGGTGACATAGGACAGAGTTAGAGATTCGTGGATGGTGATTATCAAATTGTAGACGCAGTGGTACTTGGTAGTCAAAGATAGACTCAGGGATAGTCAGCGAAGTGTTAACAGTTAGAAAAGAGACATTACAGAATACATTTTTAATTATAACTGTTACTGAGGAGTTGGTTGTTTATTTAGTAGTGTTCTGTGATTTCTTCATTGTACTTCTCAACACCTGGGCTAGTGAACCATACAGTGAGGAGCGGCCCCCGTATTAATCACACAAACACCAATACCACTTGGTACGTGACAATATATATGGGCAATACCCTAATAATACCATCTGTTACGCACTGGCTTCTATTGTGAGAAATTAATCTCATATTTTAATTTTATGGCTCGTTCAAACAGTGCCCAACAAAGGACGATACCATAGAGAAATACAATAATAAAGTTACGACATGCAAAAACAGTTGCCAATTACAATTAGTAAGATTTAATTTTGTAATAATAAAATTATAAAAACAAAGAATTATAATTACAAATCATCAACTTACAGAGTATCGAAAAATCTTGTACCGGTATACAATTAGTACACTGTGTCAATTAATAATGATGTGTGATGAATGCGAATAAACACATATGAGCATTCAAAGAATAATACAATTGTCTCGTAAAATTAATGATATCTCTCTGAATCTCCGTCCCTCTTTGTGCCTGTCAATCCCTTATATATGTGGGTCTACCAATGCGTCTAGAAACGCCCTTACTTTTCTAATACAATCTAGAACGTTCCATAAGATTCTAGTAGACATACTAACCATGTTTAATTGGAAGTCGGTAGTAAACACGATACATCAAAGACTAAGCCACGCCCACAACAATCGCTACCATCTATTAGGAAACTAATGTGGCGTGAAACAAAGTTCATGCACGGGGAAAAAGTGTCATACATAACACCTCCTCCTCTTAAAAGAAAAAAAAAATCGTTTTTCAAAAATGGAATTCTTTTTGCATTAAAAAATTTAAGAACGTACATTTCTTTCTTTCAAAATATTAGACAAAAAGCATCTTAACAGCTTATAAACAGTAACATAAGTTATATGTACAGTGAAAATTAATTTTTTGTGACAAAGTATTTACAATGACATTATCTTTGCCTTTAATATGTTTGATGACCACATTATATTCTTGTAAAAAAATTGACTCCATCTTAACAATCTTTGATTTTTGGAGACCATCTTATTCAAAAATATTAAGGGATTGTGATCAGTAAAAACAAGTACTGAATTAAAGAACAACTTACATACAAATAAAATTTTTGGAGAGCAAGAATTAAACCTAAACATTCTTTTTCTACTGTGGAATAGTTTTTCTGATGGGAGTTAAATTTCTTTGAGAAATAAGAGACAGGATAATCTACACTGTGGTCATCTTCTTGAAAAGAACTGCACCAATACTATCATCACTGGCATCTACAGCTAATTTAAACTGTTTGTTAAAATCTGGTGCAATGAGAACAGGAGCATTAGTTAGTATATTTTTAATATTTTCGAATGTTCCTGACAATCATCTGACCAATGAAATTTTGCATTTTTCATTAACATATTACTTAAGGGAGAAGCAATAACTGAGAAATGTTTGAAAAACTTTCTATAGTAACCTGCCATTCCCTAAAATCTCATTAACTGTTTTCTAGTAGTGGGTGGTGGAAGTGATACAATAGCATTTATCTTAAGCTTGAACAGGCTATACATGACCTTGACCTACTATGTGACCTAAATACTCCACAGTTGCATGATACAATTCACATTTATTTAAATTTACTGTTACATTTGCTTGCAAACATTTTTTAAACAGAGATCTTAATTGGTTTACATGAGTTGAAAGCTTTTGACTGTAAATAATTACATCATCGATAAAGGTACTGCAATTTCCCTGGTCAGCAATAATATTATTGACTAGACGTTAGAATGTAGCCGGGGCATTTTTCATTCCAAACGGCATTACTTTATATTGGTATAAACCATCTGGAGTACAGAAACCAGATATTTCTTTTGCTCTGTCAGATAGTGGAACCTGCCAATAACCTGATAGTAAGTCTATGTTGGTTACATATTTGGCATCGCCTATTCGATCTATAAGATCGTCTATCCTTGGAATCGGAAAGGAAGCAGACTTTGTAACTGCATTCACTTTCTTGAAGTCAGTGCAAAACCTGTAACTTTTGTCAGGCTCTGGGACTAAGATACATGGTGAACTCCGGTTACTAGAGCAATTTCTAGAAATTTTCTTCTTGAATCGCCATTCTCAAAAAAAGCCATTTCTATTTTTACCAATGTATTAATGTCTCCAACCGTTAGTCTGGAAGTACTAACTATCCTGAGCCTGAAGTTTCTTTTGTTTTTCAATTTCTAATTGTCTCTTGAGCGGCAGTGTGTCTTCAAGTTCGTCATGCTCAGATCCAAGATGTTCAATTTCATTGTTCGTAGATATTTACAACGAGGAATCCGCTGACTGACTAAACTTATTTAAATCCGCGATATGTTTTCGCATATGGTAACAATCTGGCCTTAGAAATAAATCCAAGTAGTCAGAGGAATGTGCAGACTTTAAATGAGAGTCAAGGCCTGAAGTTGTACCTCCTAATGCTTTAAGTAATTTGCCACATCTAATAAATTTCGCTGATAGATTGTCTGTAGCTTTCAAAATATGAAGCCCA